TTAAATTTGTGGTTATTATATTTGCTAATTTTTTTAAATTTGGAATAAAACCGTCTTCAAAACCCGATAGGTGCGAATCGAACACATTTTTCCTACGAATTTCCAAAATCCGATTAATATAAACCTGGTTTCGCAGAATTTTCCAAAATCTGATTAATCGAAAACCGGTTTTACCTAAATTTGAAAAAGCGGAATAAGCGTAAAACTTATGATTTTGGACGCCTTATTTGTGAAGCTAGCACATGCTTTCTGGTTAATTGGGCGGAATGTAGATTGAGCTTAAACCTATTTAGTGCTCAGGGATCCTTGGTCAGGGCGGATTTTTGGCATGAAAATGTTTAGCATGAAATAGGAAAAGCGACATGGGAACACTTTCGGGTTGATTTATATAAACACAAATGTTTGGTACACATTGTATTGAAATTTCGGAGTCCTGTGAAGGTGTAATTTAATTGAAATCAAAGAATCTGCCGCTTCGCGTCAAAATTCCTTCCTGAGTACTAAGCTTTAATCGTTTGATTCGAGCGAAGACAATTGTCGTTATGGAACACGTTCTAGTTCGGGAAGAAGAGTAGTCGCACTGAAAAATTGTGCTCATGGTGCAAGACGAAAGTAATTGTTGTTTCTGGGACTCCCAGACTGGGAGGACACTTATTTCCGCTATTCTCTCTCCGCGACGTATGTATGTAAAAATTGTTTTGATTTTAGGAGATTCTACTATAGCAGAATCCCCCCATTTATGCAATTGAGTGTTAATAAGAACATTTTCCTTCTGAAAATTTGGACATTTCTAATGGAATGTCAGACTCTGTATATGTTTTAGACTTTTATTTGAATCAATGCATTCTTCCTCCCATACCACTACCGTAACATACGTATGTACTTATATTGTTACAGAATTAATGCATCATTGTATTCCTCATACATACTCCTGAAAAGGTTAAACTATGGATCTGCCTCGGTACCGTTTTTTGAGATTTTTAGTGCCGATTCCAAGGGACAAAGAGAGTGGAATTAGCACCAATATTATAAAATTCTAACTTTATGAGTTCCGCTGCAAATTATAATTCATATCAATATATCATTGATAGGGAAATTAAAATGAGCCGAAAATTTGTGTCATGTAAAATTTACTCCGCCGTTTGAAATTTGGATATCTCCATCCGCGCAGGTTTGAACTTTTACAGATATTAATAATTTTGAGAAACTACGCCGCTGTCAGTTTCAAAAGAATTTTCTTTATGCTAAATATGGGGAATTTAAGACTGACAGTGGCGTAGTTTCGCAGAATTCTCAATTTCTGAGAAAGTTCAAACCTGCGTGGATAGAGGGTATGTAGACGCCTAGATGTAATACTTAATTTTACGACCCACTTTGAAGCATGACTAGATATTTTGCACCAGTTTTGAAAAGGCCGGACTGAATATGTGCTCCAGGCCGTCCCAATCCAAGGAACGCCACTGCGGAGATGATTTGTCACCGAACACTTGGCGTAAAACTATATGAAATCAATTTTCGATACATTGAATAGTTAACGTAAGAATGCCAAACCACCGATTAAATTCTGTATTGTGGTTTCACCGTGCACAGCTTGGTACTTCGTGCCAGCTTCATCGGCTTTCAGGTTGATCTTCATTTCTGGCTCGCTGTGTGGCGTCATGGTGTATGGCGCTTACTCGGCCGCTATCGTCTCCACGGTCGCCATCCACTTCGTCCCGATCCAACGGTTCGTAGATTTTATCACTTACAAATTCGATTTCACCGTTCACAACAACAGCGAACCGTTCCAACTCATTCTCAAGGTACGAGCAAACTATTTGATGAGGGAATTCAGAAAAAAAGGTCACATATTTATTGTTGAATAAATATTTTCCGTGCTAACCTTTTGAGCTCTATATTCTGCAGAACCTGATCCAGTCGTGGGGCCTGAAGCAGGACGTTCTTCTAGTCCAAACAATCGATGAATTGAGTCACCTACTGGACCCGAACCTCTCCAAAGCCTTCATTTCCTATCAGGACTTGTTCTACCAGACGGCGCTCAGCCTCGGCTACAGTGAGCAGTCAGTCTGCAGCGCCCTCTCGAAGGTGCCGCTCTCCGACTTCCGCTACAAGACTTCCATGGTTCTCAAGAAGGGGTCCGAGTATGCGAAAATCTTTAACCACAAGTGAGCTAATGTTTGCATTAACAGATTTTCTATGTAATTAACATTGTGCGATCGGAGCGGGAGAGACTTATTAATGTATGAATGATAGTATATTCTCCCTGCTTCTGCGCATTTGCGTCCGAACGTGTAGTTATTGCAATTTTGAAACTAAGGAGTAGAAGGTCACTACTTGTCGGGCCCCGATTTCGATCTCCTTTGGATATGTTGTAGTACTGCATGAGTGTAGAAAAAGTGAAGGAGGGTTAGACTCCATGAGCCCATTTACGCCCGCCACACCCGCTCAAAGGCGCCCAAACCCCCAGAGTTGCCGAACTAAAATCATCGTCAAAAATCGAGTTTTGGTCAGATTTTCAAAAAATTTACATCTTTGTGATCCCAGATAGTTGCTCTATCATATCCAATAGCAAACTCAACTTTTTTGAAATTTCGAATTTTTTCAATACATAACGGTCAGAAAATCTTCGAAAATATTGAAAATTTCAAAAAAGTTGAGTTTGCTATTGGATATGATAGAGCAACTATCTGGGATCACAAAGATGTAAATTTTTTGAAAATCTGACCAAAACTCGATTTTTGACGATGATTTTAGTTCGGCAACTCTGGGGGTTTGGGCGCCTTTGAGCGGGTGTGGCGGGCGTAAATGGGCTCATGGAGTCTAACCCTCCTTCACTTTTTCTACACTCATGCAGTACTACAACATATCCAAAGGAGATCGAAATCGGGGCCCGACAAGTAGTGACCTTCTACTCCTTAGTTTCAAAATTGCAATAACTACACGTTCGGACGCAAATGCGCAGAAGCAGGGAGAATATACTATCATTCATACATTAATAAGTCTGTCTCGCGACAGACCGCGAGAAGGCGCGAGACTTGGATCCAGTCCGCTTCCACGATGCCTTCACCGCGTTTCTGTTCGTCTTCATTGGCTACGTCGTCGCGCTGCTGGTCCTCGTCGCGGAACGTTTATACTCGAGTAGATTCCTGGACCCCACGGTTGAGAGCGCGGGTAGGGCGCGTCTCCCCGAAGGAATGCTCATACGTAGAAAATAATAAATAGTCATCATATTGTAAGTAGTTGAAGCTACTTTTTAATTATCTCGCTTTTTTACTTATAATACATTGTGAATTTGCAGAGTTTATTGTGGGTCCAAAAATATGTGCAAAGTAAATACCAGTAATCATAAATATTGCAGATCTGTATACCTTTATTTAATTTTTAACAAGAGTATTTAGTAAAGTTGACAGGTGCATATGGTATATCATATATAGATATATGGGTATCCAATGTATGGATATATCTACATATTATTTTTACGCAAAAATATTTGAACTAATTTATTTAAGTAATTAGAAATGAAAAATGCACAATAAATACATATGTATATGTAAATATGAATCTACACATCTCTTATCTAGGCTGCCTAAATTAGGCACCTTTGTAAATAAATATATACAAACTTCGAATATGTGTTTACGGACTCGGGTTACTACTCCAAAACCAATGTAGATAATAACTTGCAATTCTATTGGCCATGAGCCTTAAGAATTTTCAGAATTAATTATTGTTATTATTATATACAATTTTCCAATCTAATTAGCTTACTGGATTTTATGTGCATACGTTTGTTTTGAAATAATTTTCACGTTTTTCTGCCAGGTTCTTTTAAATACGTTTAAAAATACATGCTAATTGTTGGATGAACGAAATCCTAACATCAGTTTTCGTACCGCATGATGAGTTTAATGAATTTATTGCGAACCCATAATTTGTTATATGACTTAATAAGCCGCTCAAATTTTATTGATGGAATCATTTTTTCAGGGAAAGAGTTTTTTCGTCATTAATCGACAATCAGGATTTAACGAATTCACGTAAACAATTGATTAACACCTGTGTATAAACTCATTCACTTACCGACAAAAGTGGTCATGCAACAAACGGATAAGTACCATCAGGTGATGATTATGAATTAATTTCTACTAACATAAAATCCCTTTAAATTTAATTTGATCCACATACCAGGTCTACTCAGATAAAGTGTTACTAGTATAAAGTTTATACTATAAACGCGTAGAACCCATTCATTTTAGAAAATTTAAATTTAAAACTGAGAACTTATTCCCACGTGCGTGTAGTAAAGTTCCTCCATCCTTGGTCATAGTAAATTCAGGTCAACGAGGTTACCATCAATGATAACAACTACACGTACAAATGTACAAAATGCAACTTGCTTTTTATTTGACCTTATCTGGTTCAAAAGTACCGGGCGAGTAACACATTATAAGCAAGGCCCTACGGCTCAGAGGTACGAGGGTAGGATTGTCACCACGCAGTCACACGTTCGATTCCTCTGGCCGGGAAGCTATTGCTAATCCTACTCGGCTCGGTGTTAGTACGGGGTAGGTGCTGTCTCGTGACAGGGTGAGCCCAGCCATACGGAATGGCAATGTCACTGTGCACAGCCCCTAGCAGAGTCCGTTCTCTGTGGGGATGAGACAACTTGCTACGAAATTATGGCAAGAAGTCGCCATCTGAGGCTGAAAAGCAGAGAAATCTGAGTCCTGGCGATGTAAAACTGTCACATTTTAACATTTTTTTAACATTTATGTGAATAGACTAGGTACACCTTATCCGTGTTGGTGTTATATAAGGAATATTTTACTAAATAATAGGTCCAGCATTTTGCTTCTCGCCTATTAAATATATTCATAGTCACGAGTAATGCTGCTTCCCCGAACCTCGAATTAATGCGAGCGGTGTTTCTCCGAACTTGATTATATTATTTGAACTGCGTATTCACTCAGTTCAACGGAGTCGGTTTGTACACCAACTGCGTAGTTCTCGTATATAAAAAGAGAATCTGAGGGTCAGTTAAGTCATATCGTTCCTACAGCCATCCACTGAAAATAATAAACCTGATAAATATTCCACCCAAGAAATCCTGACTTTATTCACCATTCAAACAAGAACTTATTCATATTTATACCGTTTCTCCCCCAAAATATGGCTCCTAATTTAAAAATATTAATATTTGGGTTGCTCATTTTCTTTTCAGCCTTTCCCTATCTTACCGACGCAGCAGATTGTTCGCAACTCTACGCTAAAAAATGCGACGCCCACCTTCCCCACCCGACACAAGTCCCCGTCGTGTCGTACGACGGGGACGACGCGATCTATATATTCGGCGGGTGTCGCTGGACACTTTCTGGGCCTGACGTATATTCCAATGAGATTTTAAAGTACACCATATCCACCGATACCATTCAACTCGTCGCCCACCTCCCATTCGGTGTGTACCTCGGCACCTTGACGGCTGACGGGCTCGGAAACTACTTCTACTTCGGGGGTGCAATACCCGGCTATAATTCCCATTATGTCATCAAGTTTAATTCCTACACCAACCAGGTCGACATAGTTAACCGGATTCCGTACTACTTCCACTATTCGGCGTCCTTCGCGGTCGATCAATCTACGGCGTACGTCATGGCAGGAAATTTGTTTCAGGAAGGTGTAATTAAGTTTGACATGCAGACCTACGCTTGGGAACAGATGGCCGACCTTCCCACCAAGTTTCGGACAGCGGTCGCATTTTGGGATAAGAACAAGCAAGCTGCGTACGTTTTTGGGCAGGGGAATGCCGCCGTGAGCCCGCCCTATGATCAGGTGATATACATGTTAAAAAATATTTATTCATTCAAAGTTGTTTCACTCAAAGCCTTGAAAAAAATATTCAAACCTTATTCACTCATTAATAATTTGTAAAAAAAACTATTCATTACTTATTCAACATTTATCCGTTATTCAGAATTCCTTCATTATTCGTTTTATTCAAAATTCATAGCATTGAGTGAATTTCTCAACTTTCCCTATGTATTATGTAAGCATGAGTTAAAAGTGAATGATGAAAAGAATATTCCTTCATTATTGATTTCCACGAATTGAATAGATAATCACTCAATATTAATTTATTCAAGAATCAAATCAAATATTCATGCAATATTCATTCAGATTTTGAATATTAAATGAATAATTTATTCATTCATCTTGAAATGAATGAATGTGAACATGTGTGACCAGGTGATCCATGAACCCGCGCCGGATTATGGGCAGATTTACAACTTTCAAATTCCCGACGACTATTTGAATGTTCCCGCCGTGTCGAATGACGAGACTGATGGATTTGTTGTGGGAGGATTTAAACCGACGGAGAGCCTATTTTGGTTTCAAATGCAGAGTTGGACTGGGAAATATTGTCCAGTCGTGGGGCTTCCGGGAGGGGACGATGTTCTCTTTTCGAGAACGGGGATAGCCTTCGTGCCGAATTTGAATCGTCTTTACGTGTTTGGAGGGGCCAGTCAAAATTTAAATAATTATTTGGAAACTACACACGATACCATTTGGGTTATTGATGTTGACTTGTAATTTTTTTTGGTGAGGTTTGAGAAATAAATAAATTTTTTGAAACCATCACCCATCATCTAAATGCAATTATTACGTGTTATATTAAATCTGTATATGTTTTATTAAATTTGTCTATCTAAATAATTAATTCGGGTATCAAGAAATCGTTGTCGTATCGTAGAAATTTAAGATAACTATTTAAAATTACAAACCAACTTTACTGTATGTAATTATATTATTTTTTGATTATGTAACTAAAAGCTGTAACCTATATTAATCATTGAATGATGAATAGAAAGTGTATGATCTAGTATTTCCTACTAGATAGGGTTTGATCTTATCGTAAAATGTAATGGATTGACTAAAGGAATGAATAAATCCGTATTATTATTATAGTATCAACAATTATTCATTTCGGAGAAAATTTTCAGCTTAAAATTATGCGTTAAATTATGCTGATCTCATTTGCCAACAAGGCTCGTCAATCATGCAGGAATTTTGAGGAGACATCGCCCCGTCTGAGATTTACATATTGCACATACACGGTTCAATATTTTTGAAAGCGGTTTTCACCAAAAGCTTCCTACTTTTATTCCCTACAACCCTTTTCGACGGTTTTTTTAAATTCACAAAACAAATTTCGTGATTTCGAACTCAACGTATAGAAAGGTCAAATCTCACATCACTACATGATTCGGGTATCGTTGGAAAGGTTTCGGCAGGATGGTTCAGAATATATACATATATTTTATCTTGTGTTTTCCTTTTCAAATTATTTTCCATACATGATACATATTTACATAAATATTTATCGATTATGTACCAACTTAAACATATTTACATATTCATATTGTACGAATACGTTTCCACATTGTGTAAATAAGAAGAAATATACAGGGTGGTTTTAACGACAGGTTACAATGGAAAATTTTGCAATGGGAAAAACTCGTAAATCTCCATTAGTTACGGATTTGCGATTGAGATTTTTATTAATTTTTATCAAAACTTATGGAACACTGATGCCAAAATTCTTAAAATATTGAACTTCAGAGGCAAAATTTCGTTAACCAATGGAGATTTGGGAATTTTTCCTATTGAAAAATTTTCCATTGTAACCTGACCATTTAAACCACCCTGTATATTTAAATTGTGCAACTAATTTCTATATAATGCCCACAAAACCTAGGCTACGTGACGAGGTTTGATCAATAATATTTGGACCGTTGGGCTTCACATTCAGTTCTACGATTAATGGACTATGAATACGTACACTTCAGGCTAATTAAAAATTAAAAGGTTTAAATTATTTTGAACATGATCAACTTCTGTTAAGGAAATGCCCAATTTTCAAACTTGATCGATTCGTTTCTCGCATTACAAACATTGGAAGTTCTAATTCTTACGATTAGATTGACATGTCAATTGGGGTTGTCACAAGCAACGAGTGTACGAATTACTATACATTATTGATTATTCATCGGAAATTCCCCAGTGACGATGATTTATTTTTTGCAAAAAAATTAAAGTAGACCATTATTTTGGATTTTATACATGTTCCCGACTTCGGTTATCGGATGTCGGGAAACAATCTCGATACGGATATATCTATGTCCGTACCTGGGGAAAAAATTTCGCCTTCCAATCAAAATATTCACATACATGTGATATTTTTGAAATTTAACCACCCCCTAGTGTACGCTATTTATGATATGTGAAGGGCGAAAATATCTCGAAATATTCGCATATGAAAACCAGGGCAATTGTTGTCAATGTGACAATAATTGACCCTCGAGTTCTTGTTGTTACTACAAATAAGCAAGTTACACAAAATAAAATCATGATTTGATTTAATCTCTACCGATAAATTATATGACTGCAGTCATATAATTACTTTATCCACTCTCAATCCAGGACTATCATCGTACATAAAAATTATAATCGCTAACTTTAACTACCCCTAATACGCTAAGCTCCAACCATTCGTCATATTTGTATGCATAATTTATAAATGTAAGTGACACGTAATTGCCAATTGATCCATATTGATCGCTTAATTCAAGCGACAATTTAATTCACCCATGCCCAACTTTCGCCATATTTACGATCTCTAAAATTTATAATAAACCTTTAACTCGTAATGTTCACCACAGAATTTGTACCCCTGCTGAAATTCCACCTTCAAGTTTGTCATGTTTTCCGTTTCTTTTAAGTATGACGAAAAATCAGATCGCTTCATACGAATTCGATTGCACCGACATCTTAAAATTGTTCAGATGCAACGGGTTTTGTCCATCTTGTACTTTGCATCCATGTTTTTGAACATTTCCTTGGGTGCGACATCCTTAGTGGAAAGATTTCAAGGTCTCAATTTCCTCGCGTTGTACTTTCTGTGCGCTGTGACCCGATGGGATGTCAAGTTGGGAAATTCAGATCTTCAAATTATAAATACTTTCTTGTATTTTGAGGCGTATGTGATGAAAGGTAAGATGAAATTTTTAACTTGGTTTGCATATGTATCTAATAATGCGATTGTGTATAGTGTAACCCTACCAGTTAGTTGAAATTTCGAAATTATGTGGTCCATGTCAATACAACCAAGGTTTCTTGAGGCAGTTTATGCGATGGTTTGAATTCTTGCTATCGCACAAACTAACTGAAGAAAGGCTTGTTGTACGGACATGACATAATTTCGAAGTCTCAACCCAATCGGAGGGTTATACTTCACACCATTGCATTCGAAGTAGTAAACATAATTTTTTGTTACTAACGAAAAATAAATATGCTAGTCTTACTATTAAAAAATAGGTATATTCATTAATCTGTCTTACCTATTATCGAAATTTGCTTGCAGATCTTCCAAAACTAGGCCTTAGCTTCGTCTCAAAATTGATAAAACTTCTCGTTGAAATTTGCGAACTTTCCCTCCTTTGCCTTCCTATCTTGCAATTTGTATTGTTGCTTTACGCCCCGTGCATGACACCCTTCACGCTCTCCATGTTGACAAATTGTAAGCCCATAACGGCCTCCGGACATTGGTTGGTGGTTGTGTGGATCCATGTTTTTGAGACGTGGATGTCTTACCACATGGTGTTCTCCGCCGCGGTGGGAATAGTTTACTCTTTTTTCGTCAGCATAGTTTGCCTCCTGAGTTATCTCTGGATTTTGGAAAGGTTCGATATATTTGTTATGTGTATCTCCTGAAAAGTATTTTGCAAGATCTAGAAGGATAATTGGGCGGCTTCCCTTACTTCTAAATTAGTAAACTTTCAAGGCAAATTGTGGGAATATTTGTTGGTTGGAACAACGGCGAGTGTTCAAAAATAAGGGATAGTGAGTCAGGGAATCGAACCTAGAACATCTAACGCCGAAGTTCTTCAGGTTGAGCGTCTTAATTACTGAGCTACTCAGGCTGCTCTGTATGTATCTATGCCACTCTTTTTCCAACTAACATATATGCCACGCTTTCCCACAAAATGTATTTGACTCGATTGTCCTATCTTTTGCAAGTAATGGAATTTGAAAATGTGCAAACAATTGGGGAAACAGTGAAAATTTTAATGTTCAATATTGTTAAACATTACAATATCAGCCACTTGCAGTAATTGCAAAAAACGCCTTATTATAAAACAAGAACCATATATGAATTTTATAAAATCATAAGTTTCATTATTTTTAATGAATTTAAGGGAAATAGGAAAAATTCTAAACACCCGAGACTTGAAGAATTGCCTCAAGCTGTACAGACAGATCCAAGTTTTGGAAAAGTCACTTAACGCCGTTCTGAAGGATTCCATCCTCCCGGCATTCGTCCTTTGCGCTCCTCTAATCCAAATCGTGTGCATGTTCGTGTGCATCAATTTACACGCGGAAATCGAAATGCCGGGATTCGTCATGTTTCCGATGCTGTGGTTGGATGCGATTTGGGCGAACGTGTTCGTCTACACGTTGGCCTCCTATATTCACAACGTGTCCAAGAAGTTACTTCAGGAATTCAGAAATATGGCGGTTTGCATAGAGAACGAAGGACTGATGAGAAAAGAGATGAAGGCCATGTCTCGGCTAAAGATCAAATTTGGATCGAATTTTATCGACAGAACGACACCTCTCACGATTCAAAACTTTTGTTGGAGTCGAACCATGACGTTGACCCTGATCTGGACGAAACGTAGGAGATGAATCGATAAGCAGCGAACATAAATATGTTAATGGCGAAGAAGTGGACAATGTTTTAAGGAAAACGGGAGGAAGAGACTTACTTTGATATAGAGTAAAAATGTTAATAACAAAGTGCGGTCCTTGGGAATGCAAAGTTTCAATAAATTTGGTTCAAAATATTTAATTTTTGTAGACTATGCAAAGTATAATTTTTAAATATACACTCTCAATAATTTAAAAGCAAAATTATCACCATTTTTACTACCTTGACACGGTAACATTCACTGTCTGTCATTAGGTAACAAATTTGTCACCAAAATTGTCAACATAGAAAGTAACCGACATTATATCCATCATAGATACAATTTATATCCGTGGTGGAAATAATTTTGTCTCCCAAATTATTTCCTGCGAGTGGCAATTTGTCTCCTTAAAGTCCACTGCAACCTTTAGTGGCGGGAAGGTTTTCCTTGCAAACGTTTTTCTCTCTCCTCTGGCAGAATGGCAAAAATTGTTCGAGTTTCGTATCCTAGCAGAGGAAAAAAATTAATAATTGGAGATTCTGATTATGGATTATTCTCCACGTCAGGTAAATTATTTTAAGACATAATTTTTAGGTCGTTAATCTTTGATTATTTATCTTTTGTTATTTACAGTAAGACAAAAGTTTTTACTCGATCCGGATGCTCAAATTTCGTTCGAAGATAAGTATGGCACAGAAGTAGATGAAGATATTTTTCCAATTTTACTGCAACAACATTCCATCCCCAACGTTACGGTGAAAATCTTTGGGGAAGTGGATGTAATTTATGGTGGGTGAAAACTATATTTAAGGGTGGTAATTTTTATTTAGCTTTTAGTAAAAGTAAAAAACTAATTTAATGTCGGATATTTTGTTCGACCAAGTTGGACGAGGTGGTCTGATTCAAGCCAGACTGCGGCACATCCACAAATCTATAAACAAAGATAAGCCAAAAGTTGAAAGAAAGCGAGCGCTACCCAGGACGGAAATTTCGTCGATAAAACGTGTCCCCGTTGGATCAGAGGTGGCAGATAATTCGACGCTGTATTTGATTCGCAAGCTGAGTAGCCTTTGTCCAAAGACTGCAGAACAAGAAATAAAACGGCCGATGCAAGAGACTTTTCCACACCGCTCCGTGTTAAGGCAGACAAATCAATTAGGAATTCTAAATACCTACAACAAGTTTTTGGAATGTGATTTTCTGGTATGAAAATTTAATTTATTCATACAATGAGGTACCCTACTACGTAGGACGTTACACCTCAAGGATGCATTCACATTGTTAATACGAAGCATAATTTTTTTATAAATAATATTTATAATAGCAAGTTTTCAAATTCAAAATCATCAATCATATCATATACTACACATTATTAGTATTGAATTGTAAAATTTAAGAATTTTTTATAAATATTTCAGATTAATTTCGAATTCTCTTTGATGCATGAAAATTCCGTCAAAAACTTTGTTGACATTTGGCCAGCTGCTGCCACCAAAATTGTACAAAAGGCACCGAAAATTAGCAGAACTCCTGCGTTGCAAAAATTTGTTTTGGAAGAATCAAGCAAGTTTTTTTAGTGTTAATTGTTGTATGTCTTTGAGTGAACTTAGAATTAATAATTAAACTAATTTACAGATAACTGGGATATTAATATTTCTGCCCTTTTCACTCTATTGTACCTTATTCCACCTGCGCCACAGGGACAAGGGAGAGGAAGTCGCTCGAACATAACCGACGCTAAAGAACTTTTAATATCATTTTTTAAAGTAACTAATTTTTTACAACTTTACAATTTTTTTTAGTAACTACATTTTTTTTATTTTTGCTGATATTTTTGTAACTTGTATTTTCCTGGATTTAGCTTGGGACGCCACTCCAATCAATTTTGGACACGTGGGCGGATAAGAAAAGCCAACCAAATCTAGTTTGTCTTGGCGACAACAAAAAGGACCTTATTTCGTTTTTCATCGTGTGCGACCGAAAAATTCTTCCCATCGCAGCGCAAAATAGTGCAGAAGCTATCGACACTTTATTCAAGTCACACTACGTTTTCGCCACGGAATACGATAACAATTTGTCTGGATTATGGAAATTTATTCAAGTCTATTTATACAAATTAGAATTAGAGACGACCCCCCTTCCGCGCAAAGTTAAACAAGTCTACAGTCAACTCGCAAGTATTTTTGAGGTCCTCGAAGATTGTTGAACCAATTTACCATGTTCCAATGCCCGGAATGCGTTAGGTTATTTGGTACGGCTTTAGAAATTAAGAATCATTTCTTTGCTTATAAAGTTGTAATGGGCGAAAATATAATTTTAGTTGACGTTGAGGATTTAATTAAACATGATTGTATGGAGATTCAAAAAAATTGTAAAGTTGACGGTTTGTAACGACAAGGCATCATTTGTAAAGATGCACATATTTATTTATACGCTGGATGTTAATTTTATTGTTTAATTGTTTGTAGAGCCAGTTTGTAGAGTATATATCTAAGTATATATCTATATAAGTATATATATATAAACATGTACACAATTTAATTCCTACATATTTGTTGTTTTTATAATAGGTAGAAAAATGTGAGGAAATTTAATCTCTAATAAAATCTCGATTAAACAAGTGAATAAATTTCCATGATATTGTATATTTGCTTCCTCAGGGTTATAAACTATCACCGTAAGGAGATAAATGTATCCAAAACGGAGTTAATTTGTCACCCATATTATCACCACAAGTAGGTAAATTATTCCCACCCAGAGACAAAAGTTACCACCGTGTTGAATACATTCTGTAATCGGCAGTAACAAATTGTATCCGGACAGGTGACAATAGTATTTACCACCGCTCGGGAGGCAAAACACATTTGTCAACAGGTGGAGGTAAATTATTACCCTTCGGTAGAGTTGCATAGTACCTACACGGGGTAACGATTTTAGTGACAATTTTACTGAGAGTGTAACCGATAAGATTTTACTTAGCCTAGATACAGTCCATAAAAAAGTATTCGCCACCCCTTAACCTAACCTAACTCATTACCCGTCTAATAGAACAGATTAAATCTAATCTAATTAATCTAAAATTCCAGGTTCCTGTCACTATATAAATTCGACCATCATTTAGGCTATAGGAGAACTTATAAATATGGCATAATATGGCACATAAATATGGCATATGGAAGATATAAATATAAACATTTTTAATTTGATTTAGAATAGAGATTGTCGTCTCAAGTCGTTTTCTTCGTGATTCGAGTTTATCAATATTTTTTCTTACTGGATGTCGGGGCAGGGCTTTATTTTATTCTTTTAATCGTACAGTCTCACCTACCAGCAGTCATTTTTAAAGGTTTAGTTTATTGGAATTAGTACGACGATATATATGTATGTATGGAGTTACTGACAATTATTAACCAATAACGTGCCTGGGTGATACGTAGGCACATATGTATGTAATCAACTACTAATTACATATTCGACTTATAATTAACTCTAATTATGTCTACGCAGAAGACCATTCGTACTAATGGCTTACTTAATTACAATCTTTAATATATGTAGATAAATTCTGCAATTTACTACTTTCAATTGTTTATTAACGACTTTCCAAGTTGTGAAAAATTAATTAATTTAAATATAAAAGACGGCTAAAACTTCAGGCATTCTAGTGGTAAATACCCATCAAATTGGAGACCTCCGATATTAAAAATCATAGCAAGATGCGTTTCCTAATTGTTTTGGTAAGTTGAAATTCGTAATCTTGTATATGTAAAATGAAACTTTAATCCCGGGTGAAAATCGTATGTCGAATTTGACATAATTTTACACGAGTGGCCAGAACAATGGTTTGTGCAGAAAAAGTATGAACGATTCTGCATAAAACTTCGGACAAGTATATTCTGCAGAACGGTTTAGCACAATTAAATTAATTACTTAAATTACTTAATTTAATTAGTTGCTTAATTATGCATATATTTTGTGCACAAATTGTATCTGTATAAATTTTTCTGCATAAAACCCAGCCAAGTTTCTGCATAAAATCCCTTAAATTTTTCACCCGGGATATTTTTTCTACATTTACTAAATTTAGCCCCATTTTTCTTGTTTCTTAAACTTTTACATACTTAGATGTTAACGTGGTCCCTCATCTCGCTCATGCCTACTTCAGGGAATGGGGCTCACTTCGACCCGATTTTACCTCATGCCAACAACACTAAACTCACGAAACCCAACCGAACCGCTAGATTTGGAAATTATGTCTGCGTTACTAATCCATGCGGGGATAGCGACAACCGTTTCAATGGGAAATAAATCAATTTTTTTTAGAAAACTAGTCTTCAATAAAATATGTGACGTTAACCATTGATGGATTTTAAATTCAGAAATTTATTTTGTAATTTAAAATTTATTGTATTTCTTAAAATGTATTTTTAATTCAGAATAAATTTTATATCTAAACATCACATGGATGAAAATTAATGCAGGATGGTATCAAATCAAATTGAAGTTTTTTCTCGAATTTTTATTTGAATCTTTATTTTTATCAGGTCTCCAAGATTAACTTTTTGAGAAATGCGTATCCCTTTCGCCCGCAAATACAACCAATAATCAATAAAATATTACGGATTAATAATCATCATCACCACCACAGCAATAATCCCGAGGCTGTAGAGTCACGGCTACTACCAGGTTTCTTAGAGTGCACAATCAGTCTGTCCTGGCAGATGTTTAGTTAACATTTGTGGCAAATAAATTTGTAAATAAAAGCAAAATTTATCGCTATGAAAGATATAAATACACGCACTGATTTATTTAGCACGAATCCGATTTTATTCAGGCTTCATTTTAATGTTTTGAATGTACCAACGTGTTATTAATGGAATGGAAATTTTTTGCCTAAAATATTTTAAATGCAATACTGTAAACCATTAAGGAGGTTGCATACGTTAAATTACTCATATTATATGAGTCTTATATGTAAGCATATCTACATACGTACATAGATTCTACTCAATTCTATGGGCCATACATAAGCCTTATAAGAATTATTCATTGAATTAATTATTATTTTTATTATTATTATTATATTTAGATCCCATTCATAATAAACACGCGATAGAAAATATCTATAAAAGTAATACTGCATCACAGTCTGATTAATGCAGGATTCAATAAATTTTTGTAATACCAGTTTATCCCACTAAATTATAGTTGTGTGCTTGGAGAAAATTAATTTTCACCCACGCATTTGTTCAATTTCATGCAAGTTTGTTTTTCATAAAATGAAGTTGCCGGTTCCCCTTTTGCCAATTTTTCTACTTATTCACTCCGTGCAAAGTACTAATTTTTCGGCACACGTAATCACATCAAAGGTAAGAAAGAAATATTGAAAACATGTGTGAAAATTGAGTGTATGTAGGTGATTTAAATATTTTTCTAGTTCGATTTAATTAAAAATTGTGATTTTTTTACAAAACATAAATAATTACAGAATTGGGCCCTTCTAGCGAAATACCTTTTCAAGACGAACGGATCGAGGCTAGAGTATGAAATTAAATTTGAACGCGAGGTATGTATTTAATTCTGATCAAATTTCAGAAACCCCCGTAGAATTCATACCTGGTCAAAAACAAATGCATTCAAAGTTCAGTTATCGTAATTTCTGCTGAAGTTTTCATTTACATTCATTCATTGTCCTTCAAACTCATTTCATTTCACTTCATCGGACTTTATTTCTTACTTCGCCCCATGTATTAAAGATAGATCTTTTATCAAATCTTTCATCAAATCACAGGAAATTCATTTTCTATCATAATTAATCACATGAACGAAAGTGAACAGGTATGGTAGAATTATCGCTAATTTAGTAAAATCAATTAAGTATATGGACGATGTAGTCCCGTTAGTTTCTCCATTTCTGAATTCTTAAAATTTTCATGACAGAATTCTGACAACATTTCGTTACTCCTTATTCCGGACAACCTATGGACACCTTTTAGTAAAGCGGATGTAAGTAGCATGTTGAATATATCAGAGAGCTCAAACTATTATTCTGTTCAAGTGCTTACTTCTGAATTAATTTATGCATATATTATATTCATATTTAGACATGCCACGATAAAGTTAAGGTTCTGAGCTATGAAATGAATCAAATTATTCCATTAAGCGTGACAAATCTCTGGTCAGGATGCGAGCTTGACAAAAGCTGGAACACAACTTTGTGCAAAAATCAGAGAATGTTTTCATCCTCGAAAGATCGCATGTGGTATGTGAGCATCGCAAACTGTAATAGTTCAAAGGTACGGGTGTACATACGTATTTATATTCATACACGCTTAGAAAACATCATTACTGTCCGGAGTACATTACCGGCATTGGTAGTAACGGGCATTACCGCTCAGTAATGTTGTGGTAAGAAAGGATTTACCACTCATGAACAAACTATTACCAACCTGGTAGGAAATTATTACCACGTTAATACCAGCAAGGAGCATGTTTGTGACTTTACCAGATTTTTAACAGTGCAGTGTACACTCTTAAAAAGATGAATAAACGCGGTAATACTCTACCCGGTGGGTATTGATCTGGTACTAAATTAGTACTTCATGGCCAGAATTTAATACCCATTAGTATTAAACTTATTACAATAGAGGATTATTTTATTACCAGATCAATACCGTTGGGTAGAGTCATGTGACTCACTGTGCAGTATTTAATACCGGGGGTATAGATTTTAATACCCAGTTTCTAAGAGTGTATTTCGTAAGGGAAGTCGACAATTATACAATTAGCCTTCAATGTGTTACCGCCGCTTGTTGGGTTGTCTCTAATTAACTATGAGCAGTCCGGCCACCTCACAAAGTACTAGGGGTCATCCATATATTACGTCATCAAAAATTCTCGATTTTACCACCCAACGTCAACATTAAGGAATAAGGAATTTTAACATGGGAAAGATAGGAATACCACAACCGCCCACTAAATAAAATGATGCCGTAATATATGGACGGGTCCCACATTGATATTCGTAATCAATTTGCTAATATTTATTGTTTAGGGGCTCGATATAAACTACAAAATTTCCATGAAAAATAACGGCGATCTTGAGGAACAAGCTTCATATGCGAGTCGACTTTGTAAGCTACATACCAATATTTCTGCTCTGATAACTTGTTTATGAAATTCTTATAGTGTAGCAAACTTGTTGATTTTATCCCTTGCAGATACTTGGTCATCATTTGTATTCCTTGGCTTTGTGTCAGCTTTCTTGTTATTGTGAGGACAAATAATGTTACAAACTTTGAATTAAATAATCAGGTTGATATGTTTGTGAAGTGGGGAAATTTAAAATTATTTGTAAAATTTTGTCCAAATAAATAGCATTATTTATATGTATGTTAATAAAAATTTGGATTTGTATTTGGCATTGTGGCTCATTCAAAATTATTTAATTAGCTTACCATATCCAAACAGGACGAGTTTATTAATACGAATAAGTAATATGAATGTGTATAATTCACTGTTCAATATATTGAATAAATACATTTTTTTTAATTTGAATGAATTAATGAATCGGTGGATGCATTTTTTCCAAATTTTTAGTGAATGAATGATTGAATGCCTTTTTTTTATTAATTTTTTATTAAGTAATAAATGAATATTATTTGAAAAGGTATTGATGAAGTTATTAACATATCATGTTGTGATTTTGATTTATTTACTCCCGAATTTTCTGACAAAAGCCCACTAGGCACAACAGAAATGTAAATAATCTTCATGACTTAACAATATAACTTACATATCATGTTACGGTATTGGTTACAAGCTCGGTTACATTTATTATCATTAATTTTTCGCTCTAAATATTATGCTCCATGCAGGGGCAAAACTAATTTCCGGTTGAGAGAACAATTATGTATGTTGAATTGAATTAGTATACACATACTCTTCAGAAGCATGAGATTGGTTTAATTTTTACCCCTTTTGTTGTATTTTACGCTCACACTGGTAAACAGTGGTAAAAAGTTTGAGCCTGTTCCGCCCCAGGAAGAAGAAAAAGGTGGACTTAATCCGATAACCAACACGCTACCGATTTGGGCCTTAATTTTGACCGGCTTTGTGGCCATGTTTCTCCTCATGTTTACCGCCGTCGGGGGAGCATACATTTCTAAAAGGTATGAAAGTACTGGGCTCCACGGATAAGTTAGTGTCTCGTATAAATCTGAAATGTGAAATTTAATATGTAATTTACATAATATCAGCAATAACACTTGCAACACATACAGAAGTAATAAAATTTGACGTGACAAAATGCATAAATTCAACTACGATTTTATATATTGTTTAACAAAAAGCCAACAACTTCTAAAACACTCATTTTATTTCGTAAATGCCAAAAAATTACATATGTTCAAAACCAATACTTAAATAAATACTTACGGGGTACACAGAAATTTATTGGGTTTTGCAAACTAATTGCAATTTAAATATGATTTTATCACGATGGAATTGCAGATTTTATTAAAGATTGTTAGCGTATTGTTTAATTATGCGTCATACATAGTTATATACCTATACATAAATATATTTCGCCAGTTGCAAAAAAAATTTTGCCAAAAGTTTAAAAAAGCTGGATTCGAAATTCAAATTTCTAATATTACCTATCTATTTAATATTACAACTATTAAATACTAGCGTATAAGCCCGTCCCCGCCAGGCGAGCGAAAACTATAAACTGGAAATATCTGTCGGAAATGGAAGGGAAAGTAAAAATAATCAATCTAGGAGAGACAACCACTCCTAGATACCTACCATACCATCATAAAACCACTCACAAGATAACTATCATAAGGCATTTAAAGTTTTGAATTTAATTTATTCTGAATCCATCCGGAACTTGTCTTTCTTTACTTTAACTTCCGTCACGGAAAATTCCTTTCACTTCCGTTGCAGACAAACATTTCCACCTTATAATATAGATTATTAACTTCACCAGTTAATTCCAACACAGAAAATGAAACATGCCTGGATTCCATCGGATTTAATGGACCCTCCAATCCCCAAAAATTTTGCTTCTATCCCTTTATCAACGTAAATACCAGTGTCCGCCACAATGCCAAAGTTCACATCGACCGGACCTGCATGAAGGGTGTGGTCCATTAAGCTGGCTCGCCCCATGAATCCACCCCCCGAGTAGCCAGCCCCCACTTGGCCACTGGCCGAAAGAAACGTACTTTCCAATGTCACGTTGTCGCCGTCCATGCCGATATTAAAGTTTGTCCGCGCTACTGTGGCGCCTACTTTTCCAGCGACGAAAGGCCGGAGAACACCGTTAGATGATAAACTAGAGTCAGCCGACACTTCTAAAAGATTTACTTCCATTTTCTTTTGTTTGACGCCGTAAGCTCCTAAAATAAAAAAAACATATGTCGGGTAGTTCGAGAAGATTGTTTTTTTTACAAATGACATAACACTCTAAACAATGCGACTGGTAAATAATAAAGTATTATCCGTCGACATATTTATACATACTTGTCACTATCGTTACGTTAATAAATTTGTTATTGACAATGCGATGATGCCAGCGGTCTGGCTCCGATTTTAATGAAGCCACAATAATTATGTAGCCTTACATAAATAATTGAACATGTTTCAGGATTTTTCATAATTCTCACTTTAAACAAAGTTATGATGATTTACGTGGCCAAAAATTCGCATTTTTCTCCCTCAAAAATAAAAAAAGAAAAACTCCAGGAGAAAAATGCGAATTTTTGGCCACGTAAATCATCATAACTTTGTTTAAAGTGAGAATTATGAAAAATCCTGAAACATGTGTTCAATTATTTATGTAAGGCTACATAATTATTGTGGCTTCATTAAAATCGGAACCAGACCGCTGGCGTCATCGCATCGTGAGTGCTAGGATATTTATTATCAACTGGAGCCGTGAGTGAAAAATACTTACTACTGGCGTGGTAACAAATTTATTACCTATCAAGAAAACTCAAAAAACCAGACAGGAGTATATGTAATACTAACCGACTGGTAATACTTTATCCTCGGATTTTTTAAAGACAGCAATATTTAATTAACCTGCTCTAGCGCGATGGTCCGATCCCCAAAATCCTTGATCATGTTTTCCAGTTTCAGCATAGGGATTAAATTCTCTCTCGATGCGAGGGATGGGCACTAAAATTTAGAAAAAGAACTAATTTCCTTCAATTTTACATGCAGAATGTCAAGAGTTTAAATGTATTTACGTACGTACCCCCGTCTAAACAAGTTGTTATGGCGCAGACAAAAAGAAAATTTGCTAGATACGACCACATTTCGCATACGTGAATATGACTGAACAAAGTATGGACAATGGACTTATCCGCATTTTATATTCAAGATACTCCTGGGTATTCATGTTTTGTCGTGGAAAAACCTAACCCGAATTACAAAATATAACGTTCCCCGTAGTGTTAATTATTCACCCAGTTTCGCAGAAATGGATTTACATTATTAATTTTAGCGAAACACTAAAATAAATTGGAACAGTGGCAGCAAGATAACCTTACCCTGCCGAATCTCAAGGCCATGCGCGCACAACGACAGGCTCGATCCCGCATTAATCGCCTAAAAATGAGGGTCTAGTTTTTACTCTGGTGACCGTAATATTTGACCGTTTGAGGTCATTTTTGGCGCACACATTTCTAATCACATTCCCAAGGGTGGTTTTCAAGGGTTTTGACCTAGGTCACCTACGTGACCTTCCACAATTCACCAAACGTTTTGCATAATATTCGGTTTTTACACTCTAGTAACCGTACTTTTTGACCTTTTGAGGTCAAACGTGGCACACGGAGTCGCAACCATATTCCCCAGGGTGGTTTTCAAAGATTTTGAGCTAGGTCACTTCAGTGACCCCACAGAGGTCATAAAACTCGAATGACCTCTGTGGGGTCACTGAAGTGACCTAGGTCAAAACCCTTGAAAACCACCCTGGGGAATGTGATTGGAAATGTGTGCGCCAAAAATGACCTCAAACGGTCAAATATTACGGTCACCAGAGTGACCAGAGCTCTAAAAACTAGAGCCTCATTTTTAGGCGATTAATGCGGGATCGAGCCTGTCGTTGTGCGCGCATGGCCTTGTAATTCGGCGGGGTAAGGTTATCTTGCTGCCACTGTATCAATCAAGGAAATCACTGCAACGATGTATACATCTGCGTCCGTTAATCTCAATTGAAATGAATGACTTATATTTCCTGATTACGATTAAATAATAAAGTGACGCCATGTGAGATGGTTAGAACGCATAAAAATTCCATTCAATCCAATTTAATTCATAAAGCTGGGCTGGCATAAAGTTTTCATAAATAAGTGATCATATATCCAACTGGTGTGTAGTTAAATCGGTTTATTTAATTGACGGGACCGGTTTCGTAGTAAACCTTCTGCATCAATAATAAAATAAAAATTATTAAAAAATGCACGAAAATGCATAAAAATGAGTATTCTAGGAATTTCATATTTTCAAGGAATCCTATACTTTTCTAACCCCTCAAATTGGGGGCAAGATTCAGTTAAACACCGTAAAATTGTTGAATTATCACTCTTTAAAATAACATTTTCATTAATTTTTCATATAAAAAATGAAAATGGTACGTCACGAAAATGATAAAATTATCAGAAAATAGCCATCAAGCAGCACAACGGTGTGTAAATTGATCAGATATTTATAAAAATTGGAATATTACAATATGATTAGTACTAAAATCATTTTCCTGCATTTTCGTGCACTTTTCCGGTACATATTAATCAATACTAAGCTGATCAATGGTAGTAAATATTTAATACAATAACGTGAAGTAATAAATGAATAGCTTCGTATTAAAATTTTATCATATCATTATTGGCAAATTTTTATTTACTATAAAATTCTGGACCCTATAACACAGAGAAATCTGAACATATGTACAAGATTTATACACCCTTAAATAACTCTTAATAATCCGGTAAAGTCACGCAAGTAATGAGTTCTCAGTAATAAATTTGGTAATAATATTTTATCCGGTAGTAAAAATTCGTTACCATGAGGGTAAAACTTTATTACCAAGCTATTGTCTACCACACGGTACAACTTATCATTACCACTTTGGTATATACGTGTGCGCTTCGATAATGTTATTACCAGAGTGTACATCACAGATTCAACCGAATTCAGTGCATCATTTTCCATGACATACATTCCATTCGTAAATAAGTATGTAAATAAGTAGACTCAATAATTTTATAGAGACGCGTGGCGTGTGTATCCATGCCATTTCTTGGGTAAACTATTACAACTTGACGGCTTCCACACACACACATGCAAATACATAATTGGCAATTATTATCAAAGAAAAAACCTGTCGGATCGCGTATGTCGGTTGCTTGGTAAATCTGGTCGGTACATGTACACACACACAATCCACGGGATTTTCCAGATCCACCCACCCCACGTGGCAGGAAAACTTGCTTTACATACATTCGCAGCCTAATTACTCCATCATTGCAAACAGTACTGGGCTAAATTTTTTGCACGCACTGAGAAGCAATCGCAGAAACGGGGAAGGTTATTATTTATTACGTGTTTTTTTGCAAACCATGCAAAATATGTAAACCGTTGCGAACGAAATGTAGCAAAGGGGTGAACACTAGCGAAACTAGGGGTAGGCAGGGTAGGCACCGCCTAGGGGCCCCACGGAGTGGGGGCCTGTAGCTATTCGGAATTTTTTAAAATTTGTTGCACATCGAACAATGGCGAAACTGCGCGTAAGCGTCGCAGTGGGGACTTCAGAATTCAAAGCTACTTAAAATTATGTTAAGAAATTCTGCCAAATTTTATTTTGTAAAAATGCTGAGATGAGGGTCACCACTAAAACATTTTTTAGTTATTTTTCTACAGGTTTTGTGCGTATCTCCGTAATAGTTTAAAAATTTAACACATTTTAAGTTGGGCAAATTGATTGAAAACCGATAGTACGAGGAAAACGACACATATGTATTTTGTCAGGATCCTAGCGTTGATTGTAGTTGATTTACAAATGATAAATTTTCTTCAGCTGTTTAACTAAATTAGTCTGAATTAAAAAACCGAAACTCAGTATAATCTGCCAGTTCCGCACAAAGTTTCTGAAGTGATTTCATTTAAACCATATTTTAACCTCCTTCGTACAACTGATTTTAAAATAAAATTTCCCTTCGATAAAACATTGATTTCATAATTATACCTGATAGCGACCAAATGGAATTGTCAACCAGTTTAGAATTCTTGACTTTTGACAAAAATAACCAAAAATCTACTTTTTAACATTTGTTAAAACAGAACAGGGAAAATGTCAAAATTTGGGTAGAAAAACAACGAAAAATATCCACTTTTCACGATCGAGCTTTCCACAAAATGATGAAGAAAGATTCTTTTCTTCTTTCTTATTATTCTTTCTAAGAAATTTTGATGTCAAGACCTCCTTGCTACAAGTTATTTCTCGGGAATATTCCGTTGCGTACCAATTACACACATTTGTGTAACGATTTTTTATCACTTGACTACCAATCAATTTTTCGCAATATTACTTTGCCTACGAATTACACATATTTGTGTTGCAACATTATTTCCATTAGCTACCAATTACACACCAGATCGTTTTCCATCGCGTACCAGTTACACAAATGTGTGTAATTATCTGGGGGATTTTAAAAATTCTAGCAGTCAACGGAAATCTATCAAGTTGTAAAATGCCGGACAACATAAAAGTCCCAAAAAATATTTTGGTAGCTAAGAAAACAAATTTTGCTACACAAATGTGTGTAATTGTTAGGCAAAGTAACATTTCGAAAAATAGTTTATGGTAGTCAAGTGATAAAAAATCGTTACACAAATGTGTGTAATTGGTAGTCAAGAGGTTAATGCAGTACAGACAAACATTGTTACTTTCTCCGTCAACGGAAAATATAATAAATGTATAAATAAATGTAGAAAAATAAACAAATTCCGTGAAAGGTAAATCAAATACTGCACAAATGCGTTTACTTTGTCGTAAAGTGGTTAAACCCTTGTTTGTTTAATAATACAGCACAAAATTACCTTGCACTGAATCAAGTTTATGTTTTGCTAAAAACCACAAAATTTTCCGTGTTTTTGTAAGTCATGTCAAATCTGTCAGGGACAGGGGCCCCCACAACCTCGTACCTACCGGCCCCAAATTTATAGTTCCGCTAGTGGGGGTGAAGCAGCACGGTCATGATACGTCAGAACTATGTTGATTTTTGAAATCCTGTCCAAAACTACGTTTAAAAGGTCGAAACAAAAAAGTCGACACGATTGACCGTTGCTCTCATCCCCGTGACCTTATGACATATGTATAACGCCCATCTTTGAACTCATCCGTTCTTCAAAAATCAGTAACACGTTAGCGACAACCGCATGTCGAAATTCGAAACCGTTCAAAAGTTATCGTGGATCCTGACAAACAGACAGACATATAGACAGACAGACGGACAGACGGACGGACAGGACATTTCCATAAAGAGATTTCGCTTCTCTTCACCCCTCAATAATCTTGATATGATTTCCCTCAACGAGTCCAATTAAATGAATAAACTGGAAAAGATATAAAAAGGCATCCCACCTTCTTCCCGAGGTATCACAATTATTTCAGAACTTTGCACGAAACTTGAATCATCCACCCCGAAAAAGAAACTTACCAGCCTCAAAATGCCCCCATTTTGTTGCTCATCTCCCGCCATCGCGATCTGTTTTCCACCCGGGACCCTCGTGACTAGCAGGACCCGGGGGGAAATTGAGATTCAAGAGTTGACCCGGGGGGAAGAAATTTTGACCCTGGACGCCAAAAATGGGGCCCCTAAATGGACCGAATTCTACACCTGGACCCACAAAGATGCCAACATCATGGCGGACTTTGTCGTCTTGATTGTCTCGGATGGAAAGGAGCTCCTTATTTCCAACGACCATCAGCTGTTCGTTGCTGGTGAGCAGGGAAAATTGCCAATCGCGAAAAAAGCTGGGGATGTGAAGATTGGTGAGTTTTATTTTATTTTATGAGGCTAAAACCACACTTTTAGGGGGTGATTAATATTTGGGGGAGCCCCGGACAAAAATTTCTCTGGGGGAGAATGGTCCAATTCTTATCCCCATTTTTTCCCAATTACCATTGTTTCTTCAAAATTAATCCTAAAGTTGGGTATACACACTTAAAAATCAAGTAAATATAATTAAATACATTTAAATCTGAAGGATAATAAAAAAAATTTAATTGTCAAATTAATTATGTATTTGACTGGCCTTAAGGGGATTTTATTAAGGAGATTTGTTTATTGTTACGTGGAGGCAAACATAAATGGGGGCTCATTTCAATAATTTAGGAGACAGAATCCATCGTTTTAGAGGGTCGTTAAATAAATTGTGCTATTCCAACATTTCCAGGCGAGGAGTTGCTCCTGGCCGACCCCGACTCCGGCCATGTGAAGAGGATGGAAGTGGTGGAAATCTCTGTGACCGAGTTGCGCGGGGTGTACGCCCCCCTCACGATGAGTGGCACGTTTCTAGCGAACGGAATCTTGGTGGGGTGCTATTTAGGAGGCGCCCATAAGGAAGCACATCTCTCCGCCGCCCCACTCCGGGCCTGGTATCGACTCAAGCGCCGTGGGGGAGGAGGAATTAAACAGGACAAGAAGGACCCCTCGGAGGGAAGGTGGAGCTTTCTTCACAGGCCCGTCATGGCTAATTAAATAAACTTTCCTTTTCATGAATTGATTGCGAGTAAATCGTTCAGGTAGACTCTTTTCACTACTATTGCGAAATTACTTTGTTAACTTTTAACTTGTTTACTTTGAAGTTTGAATTTGCTTTAGTAGATAAAATTCTCACACCAGAAAATTAATTAGTCATTAATCCATTAATTGAACTGTAAATGTTGGTTTTGGTCCTGTACTCAATTTTAAATACTCCTTAAATGAATCTTTCTGATTTAAATAAATACATACAAAAAATAACATGAATGCGGTACGAAAACAAAAACAATTTATTCATGCATCCGCATTGAGTGGATGGATGGAGTCTGGAAGTTGTGCATGATATCGGTGCCATCAGACCTGTTAAAAAATATTTTTTGCCTTCAAACCTTGGTCATTCAGATTTTTGAATTCCAATTTTCTTGCAAAAAGTGAATCTTTCATTCACTTTCATTAACCTCCTTGATACCAGTTATTTCTCGAGAAAATTCCGTTGCGTACCAATTAAATATATTTATTTATTTGTATAGCAAAATTATTTCCATTAGCTACCAATTACACACGAGATCGTTTTCCATTACACAAATGTGTGTAATTATATCGAGATTTTGAAAATTCTGGTAGTCCACTGAAATCTATCAACTTATAAAATTCCGGATAACATAAAATTTCCAAAAATTATTTTAGTACACAAATGTGTGTAATTGGTAGGCAAAGTAATATTTCGAAAAATAGTATGTAAGTGATAAAAAATCGTTACACAAACGTGTCTAATTGGTAGCCAAGAGGTTAACATGAAAGGATATCACTCAATCAGAATGATTCACAATCATGCATAATTGGTCATGCTGAAGAAAATGAATATGTAGGCATGAAAATCGGAGCATAGTCGCGGATAGAATCATCTTTTCATTGCGTGTGAGGGCAAACTATGTATTTATTTCAGACGTAATAAACAAAACGCTAAAGTTCTCTTGCTCGTGGGAACCATTTAGATAGTTTCTGTTAAAAAGATAAATCATCTTATAATAAAAATATCCCACGCTTTATATGTATCTATTTATAACATAGAGATGACTTTATTTCCACTTTTCCTTGCCGACTTCATACAGACGTACGTACGTATTTACATGTGTACATACACTCAAAATAAGGCAGTAATGAATCATTACCATGCGGAATGACTATGTGGCTCTACCACGTCGATTACGATTTGTCGTAGAAATGGTAATAATATGTAAGTTCAGGGAAATTCAAATTTAATACATAATGGTATTCACTTCCTTAATATTTGGTAATGAATTTGAATTTCTCTGAAATTATAATTACCATTTCTACGACAAATCGTAACCGACGTGGTAGAGCCACATAGTCATTCCGCATGGTAATGATTCATTACTATGTACCTTATTTTGAGTGTATATATGTACACCTTATGCAACAGAGGAAAATTTGGATTAATAATAATAATAATAAGCAGTTATTATCCTCATTTATTAATATTATTTAGTGATTACAAAATTCGGGGTTAATACGAGTAAAAATAACATATTATCCAATTAATTTTTGCAAAACAAACTAGAACTATTTTCATGCGCTTAAAGTATCAAAATTAAATAATTAATCTTATCCACAGTCTATTTAATTACTCGACAAGTTTAGGATTTCTAAGGTTTACAATTGCTTCTAATTTATTGTCATAGATTGTTTGAGATTTTTTGTACTCTTCATTCATTTTATTAATAACTAGCTAATAAGCCCGTCTTCGCCGGGCGATAAATTTCACACTTTGAATGCCTGTCCGCAACGGGAGTAAATTAAATTAAGATAAATTGCGTAATTAGCTAGAAAGAATCATGATAGTGATTGGTGGTGGTAATCGGGAAGTGCTAAAATTGGCGCATGTCCAAAGGAACTTTTATACTCTCCCATTACATAACTGTACCATCCTAGTAAACCCACCAGCCCAGCAAACCCTTCAGCCAAGTAAACCCATCACCCCAGGAAACGCACCAGTCCAGTAAACCCTCAGCCTAGTAAACGCACCAGCCAACCCATCAGCCCAGTAAACGCACCAGCCAACCCATCAGCCCAGTAAACGCACCAGCCAACCCATCAGCCCAGTAAACGCACCAGCCAACCCATCAGCCCAGTAAACGCACCAGCCAACCCATCAGCCCAGTAAACGCACCAGCCAACCCATCAGCCCAGTAAACGCACTAGCCAACCCATCAGCCCAGTAAACGCACCAGTCCAGTAAACCCTCAGCCTAGTAAACGCACCAGCCAACCCATCAGCCCAGTAAACGCACCAGTCCAGTAAACCCTCAGCCTAGTAAACGCACCAGCCAACCCATCAGCCCAGTAAACGCACCAGCCAACCCATCAGCCCAGTAAACGCACCAGCCAACCCATCAGCCAAGTAAACCAGTCAGCCCAGTCAACGCACCAGTAAACCCATTAGCCCATAAAACGCTACAGTCCAGTAAGCGGAGCAGCCCAATAATTGCAGCAACTCAGTACATACGCCACCAACCTGTCGTCATGTTGAAATGCCGGTCGTATACCTAGACGACTTATTACTGCATTTCAAGTCGTTTTTTGCAATACGTCTTGTCGTGGAATCTTTAACTTGAAATGCAAGACGACTGGCAAGCCCAATTGCTATTGCATTGAAGTCGATTCTTGCAATACATCTTATCTTCCCCTGCTTAACTTGAATTGTAAGAGCATATGCTAGATGACTTGAAATGCAATTCCACCTCATTTTGCACTTCATCTTGCACTTCATCTTGCACTTCGACTTGAAACTACGAAGTGCAAGAGTCGAAGTGCAAGATGAGGTGAAATGCAATTGCACTTCATCTTGCACTTCAACTTGAAACTACGAAGTGCAAGAGCATATGCAAGAGCTTGATAACCAATTTTCGGATAACACCTTTAACCAACCAAGATAACCAGAATAACCACCCATAGATATCTACCTACCAAGATAACCATCGATCAAGATAACCACCCACCAAGATAACCTTCCATCAAGATAACCGTCCATCAAGATAACCGTCCATCAAGATAACCACCCACCAAGATAATCATTCATCAAGATAACCACCCACCAAGATAACCTTCCATCAAGATAACCACCCACCAAGATAATCATCCATCAGGGTAACCACCCACCAAGATAATCATCCATCAAGGTAACCACCCACTAAGATAATCATCCATCAAGATAACCACCTTCTGATAACTCCAACCACAGATAACTTCCCCCAAAGATAATCGCGCATAAACAACCCCGCAAAGATAACCGCTCACGTACCCCCACCCTTAGCTAATCACACAAAGACGATTACCGTCAGATAACCACCATTAGATAATCACCCTTTTAAAACATATGACACCCCTCCTCCAACTTTTGAAACATGTTTTGAATTTGATTCATTTTGAATTTTTGCGCCATTCGAAACTTTACTTTCCTCACTTTCACTTCCTTAACGAACAGAATTTTGGGACGGAAAATTTTACTTTCACTTCCGTTGCCAACAGACATTCCCTCTTATAATATAGATTCCATTAATGGTTGAGTTTCGGTAAAAAGAGTTAGGTTTTTTAAATTTTTAATTTCAGACAGGGACCATTTTGTTAGGGGCTGGTCCTTTAGCTTTGTTTAATGATATAAAATGTAATTATGCCTACATACAAAAACATACTCTGCGAAAACAATTTTCACTGCAGTGAATTGAATAAACCTTACATCCTTCATGCCTGATAGAATTAAAACAATACTCATAAATGTGACTAGACGTATGTACCTAGTACTCGCAAAAGTTCTGTTATAAGATTTCCCGGGTAAATTAAGCAGGCAAAGCAATTTTTTAGAAAGTTCTACTATTTTTTATTGAAATCTCCATGCAATTGTCTGTCAGAAACCATGTTTTGAAAACTTTGTGACCCAAGGTGCCGAAATGACAGATAGGCAAACATGGCGTGTTTAAATTTTTCAGGAACATTTTAGCGAACGTCGAAAATTGACATTTTTAAATTGTTCAATAAAAATCGGAATTGATTGCAAGATGGTCGACCGTACCATAAAATGGTGCAGTGACACTAGCAGTGTCGACGACGGAAAAAAAAGTGGAAGTGAACGGCTAGAAAGGTCACCAAAATTGACGAAGGCGCGAAAAAGCTGGATTCGCCCGAATCCATGCCGAGCCCTAAGAAAATTTCCCTCACAAATGAACGATCAAGTAAAAGTAAGTCCCGCGCCCTTAATGTAAACCTTAGACTTATGTCTTCAAGATTTGAGGAGAACTACTCGTTAGCTACACGCCAAGTGAAAACAGACCCATCAGAACCCGGGTGCTGATCACACGGTACGCGCTTGAAAAATGGAAACCGATATTAAAAAATAATTAGCCCACCTTTATGGGTGAGGCTAAATAAAATAGCCAAAAAAACATATTTCCACCCCACCGGTCTAGGCTATTCATAAAAATTTTGATGGGACCCACCATCCTGTTTTTATGATTTTTTATTGGACTTAACTCGGATTGGGTCGAAAAAGTGATTTTTCTTAGCAAGGGGGTGAAAATTTGTGTCAAAAATTATTTTTTCAAGTTCTCCAGCGAATTGTGGAACCACTGAACTATTAGCTTTTCGAAAATAGCGACGTAACGTTCAACAAGGGCTCAGGTCCCGTTCATATGGCAGAGATAGCAATTCGGTGGTTAAAATCCTCAGTTCCTGACTCCATTTCGGACCAAGAAAAAAATTCACTGTTGTCGAACCTAAACCTGCTGGACTATGATACATTTTTCAAACTTTAGCTGGATGTATGTGCTAAACTTCACACAAGTGTGGAATCCATAAAAAATTCTGTCGTCAGGATATGGGGTCAATCTTCCCGGGAACGCGTGCGTACTTCGATGGAGTGGTGGATACCAAGACTGCGGGCTCGTCTAGCCTTATAAGAGTGACACTTTAAAAAGTGAATCATGTTTCTTATACAGAATTTCATGGGCTTTTCAGTGATTTAATTAGTTTTTCGAAATTCGATAAACTGGGTTCGCTACAGCGAGTTGTTCTTATAACAGAACTTTAGCGACTACTAGGTATACAGATCTGTATAACATGTTGAGGGTAAGCTTGACTGAATCTACATAAATATAAATTTAAGTGCTTTGTAGGTACAAATTCTTGCCCTTCTTCCCCACCCAATGTACTTCTCGTCTCAACCCCCCGCCCCCTCTCCCCGTTCGTTATACGCACACAAGGTTTATATTATAGGCACACTTTTCCACCTCCTCCCCCAAAGAGTGGGCCTCCTCGACAAAGTTTTTGAGGAACAATTCTGCCTCCGCAGAGTCCTGGAAGATTTCGTCATCCCCCTGCAGACAGATGGTGACTTGACCTCCAGCCGTTAAGGGGGTAATTCCCACTCCTGGAAGGGACCAAAGCAAAAAAAATATCAGATTTCGCCCAAATTATCTATGAATAGTATTTTAAAATGCGGAAATATAATAAACAACCCGAAAAACATGGGAATCCAAGGTAACTTCACTGCATCGAAAAGTGGTTTTGTTACCTCTTGTTACCCGGGTGAAAATCGTATATCGAATTTGCCATAATTCTGCACAAGTGGCCGGAATAATTCTTTGTGCAGAAAAAGTATGAACAATTCTGCATAAAACTTCTGACAGGTATATTCTGCAGAATAGTTTAGCACAATTATGCATAATTCGGCATATTTTGGGCATAAATTATTTCTGCATAAAATCCAACCAATTCACTACATACATAAAACCTACCCAAATTTACGCATAAAATCCCTTAAATTTTTCACCCGGGTAGATATTTCAATCTTTTCATTGCCGGCCTCACCTAACGTTTCGGTCTACTTATTCTTACCAATTTTTTCAAACAATCTTCAATTTACAGATATTTGCGGGAAGGATTGCAAGCTAATTTTTTGCAACATCAATTTATGAGAGGAACGTGAAAAATGATAAAATTTCGAAATTTTACCAACCTATCGGGACGATTGGGAATTCCGAATGTTGCATAACGAAGAGTTCCTTAACCCCAACGCCAACCACTTCATACTTTTCGTGGGACATCATGAATGGATTCACGGCAAGTTCGAAGCCCTCGTGTGACCCCATCCGAGCACCAAAGTCCAAAAGGGTGATGGGGATTAAAGGCCCAAAGACGGATTTCAAGAGTAAACTTGCCGTTCCATGGGGGGACCCTTGCTCCATCTGGTATCGCTGGTGAATAGTTTGGAGCTGTTTGAGCTTATCGTTTTCTCTCAAGGGGACAGGGATGAAGCAAAGTAAGCTGCAATTTTGGAAAAATCTATCAAAATTTATGAACTCTTTTGCATGAAACCCAGTTTCAACTTTTATCCTGCTGAGTAATTGGCTGATATTCCAAATGTGCACATGATGCATAAATCATAATTCAAAATTTCCCGAGCGGAATAATGTTCTTGAAAACTACAAATTTCGCCGTCCACAACAAAACATGGTTTTGGGGCAAATGTTTGAGGACGGATTTGAAAAATGGATTTTGCTCACTTTAAACCACAATTATTTTCAAAATGTTTGCGAAATACTGTAAAAATGGGGCAGCGCAAAGTACACGGACAATTTTTCCTATTGACAAATTTTCCATTCTAACCTGACATTTAAACCAACCTGTATCTAACGCATTGATGGTGCAGCTAATAAAGTTAAAATATTGACCCAACTAAATTTCATTATTTCCCAAAAACTTACGCATGATTGCAGAAGACACCCTTATCCGCGGGATGATTTGGAGCGGGAAGGATAAACATGAGTGGGGCTTCCTCGCAGAGAAACACTTGGTCAGAGGTCGATGACTTCCCCCGAAATCTTGGCGTCTCTGCGACCCATCGTCGAAACGTGGTGAGGAACACGGACATGAAAATGGCGGAGAGTTTACACCCACTGGATTTCGATATTTGTTTAAATCGTGCCAAATCCATGGACTCTTTTGCGTAGTGCATGACCTCCGAGGGGGTCGTTGTGGGGGCGGCCTGTTTCCCTTCGCGGAATGGGTGTCTCGTTAAATCTAAGGTTAAACTGGACACCACCGTGTGCACCATGAGGAAGGGGGCTTTTGCTAATAATTTTACCTGGAAAGGAGTAAACCGATTGCATGAAATGGCTGTGAAATTGGTATGAGCAGGCCTTCACAAAATTCTAGTTGTGCACATATATGTTCACATTCATTCATTTAATAAATTATTCATTCAATATTCAAAATTTGAACGAATATTTTATTCTAATTTTTGATTGCGTGAATATTGAGTGAATATCTATTCAATTCGTGTGACTGAATAATGAATGAATATTTTTTTTCATCATTCATTTTTTACTCAATGCTTAAAACGGGGAAAATTGAGAAATTCTTCTAATACTGTGAATTTCGAATAAAATAAATAATGAGGAAATGGTGAATAATTAATAAATGTTGAATAATAATGAATACTTTTTTTCAAATTATGATTGTGTGAATAAGAAATGAATATTTTTTTTCTAGGCATTGAATGAATGAACTTTGAAGGAGTAAATAATTTTTGAACATCTATGATGGCACCAAATATGGTCAATTTCTGGACCCATTTTCGAAAATTTTGCAATGGATTAAATGGAAACTAAGCTCTTTGAATTACTTAAAGTTTTTCTAATCATCGCCGTATTTAGTATCGCATAATATGCGACGCATATATGAGAAAATTACTACTCGGACTATCCAAAATCACAACGCTACATTCCATATTTTTAACATACCATGTGCCACCAACTCCGACTTGATTTCATTGTCACGGGGCCCTTGACGATGGGAGGTTGGTTATTTGTTAGTTTATCTATCAGGATTCTCGAACAGTACCCATCTCCCAGGGCGTGGCTCGCCTTGAAGATGAGACTGCTCCTCCCCTCCGCTCGGAAGTGGAGCAGGACAATCTCCCACTTCGGGTAGTTTCTCCGGATTTTGGAATGATCCCTCGAAATCCGGAGGCATGCTTGCTTTTCTGTTTCCACAGTGGGGGCGTGATCCTCCTCGCGTATGTGGCGGGTGAGGTCCAGGGGTGCCCGGGTTTTGTAGGAGTAGCCCAGAATTCGGGTGAATGTCTGGTGAAACACGGGGTACTGAAATATGCAGAGGAAGGAAAATTTGTTGAAATTACATACAATGTGCAATATGCCAGGACAGGAATATGGTAAAGAGTTCGGTAAAATTGTTATTGATCTTTCAATTTTTTTCACCCTACAGCTAACGCTATTCGGTAACTAGTTCGCTAATTCACTAGTTTTGTCAAATCGAAAAATTTTGCGTTTTTATACTTTATGGAACACTGATGACAAAATTCTTAAAGTATTGAATTTCAAAGGCAAAATTTGAGTAATTTATGGAGATTTGCGAATGTTTCCCAATAAAAAATTTTCCATCGTAACCTGACATTTAACTCACCCTGTATATTCCAGCCACAATTGGCCCATTTTCCACGTGTATTACCACGTGTATTCTCATATTTATTTACAACCTCACCTCTGCATCTTTCCCGTTCGCGAGAAAAGTTGTGTGGAAATGTCCCCTCAATTTGTCCAGATCTATGATGCCCTCCCCCACTAAACAGATTGACAGCATGCTCCCAACCTCGGTCAGACACATCATTGAGTCCATCACGTTGTTTGCTTGAAGAAATGCGTCCGAATACTTGAGCCACACCCACAACAACGAGGCACACTTCCAAACTAATAAAAACCCCAGAACTGGCAACCCCACGGGAGAAACGAGCATCCAAAGCAGGATTCCTAGGCTTATTTGCACTATTTCTGGACAAATATTGGAGTTTGGCATGGTCCAATTTTATCTTTTCCAAATTCACCAATTTTCCAATAAGTTTCCGAAATTTAATTCACAAAATGAATATTATTTTGGTAAAATAATGGAGAAACAGGTGGTTATTGTAGCGTGTATTTTACCGTGAAGCAGCAGTCACTTAAACGCGTGTGAAGCCATGTGTTGTTTTTTTTTGCGGTGATTTGCAGAAAATTACATATGTACATGCATTGGTTGGGTTTCTTAGCATGAGCACTGCAGCAGCAGAACAATATTCGCATGGTAACTTGGTGCGATCATGCTGAATCCTATCTACATACATAGTAGAGCAGTCAGTGTATTCTGAAAAAACCATTGTATACCAAGTCACACGTGGAATTAACTGTTAGTAGCAGGTTTCCATTGCAATGTTTCTTCTTGTTCGCACAAAATTATTTTTATGCATGTGTGGTACGTAAAAATGCTAAAAAATGCACGAAAATTCATAAAAAATTAATGGAATGCAGTTTATTACATATTTTCAAGAAATTTTATATTTTCCTATCCCCTCAAATGGGAGTATCATTCAGGTCATTTACATACTTTGAGTAATAATTCCACCAGTCTGTAAACCCTTTTTCATTCACTTTTCTCTTTGCAAAATGTGGAAATTCTAAAATCGTTGCTAAAAGCGTCTTTCACGACGGAATACACAAATTTCCTTGACACGCAAGTTTCTTTTAAAAAAGAATATTTCTTCGGTGTTTTGTGGAAAACTGGATGGTGAAAAGTGGACTTTTTCAATATTTTTCTTCTAAAATTTTGGAATTTTCCCTATACCGACCAATGTTAAAAAGTGGATTTTTCGTGTTTTTCGTCAAAAACTCGAATATTTATTGCAGACTGGTGGAAACTTTAATTGGTTGCTATCTGGTATAATTATGAAATCAACATCGTACCGAACGGAAATTTTATTTAAAAATTAGTAGTCCGAAAGAGGTTAAGTATTTAAGCGAAGAATTCCACGTTAAGCCTATCTTCTAATTGGATACGAGGATATTTCAGATCCCACGGGCAAAAAAACCCAGAAATTCCAGAATCTCTGCCAATTAATATTTGCAAAAACAATGAATACAAGAAATTGCCAAAGTACACGTGTATGTAAATTCTCAGACAATCAGATAACAGCATTTCTGCGCATTTGCCGTGCTCCTGGGCAAGAAATTACTGGAGGAAATATGTAATCATGTCACAGATCGAAAATATTACAAATTGCTTGTTGTAATGTGAAATAATTATTTAATTGCGTGTATGTGTAAGCAAATTGGTAGGTACATATGTGGAAGCAACTTTTTCTCCTCTGTGTGTAAGGATTTTTTATAGACTTATTATTTATTGATAGGTATGTATGTATCATTACATTCATTACTATGGATCCAGATTTAATAAATAAAGTTGAACACGTAGGAGGTATCATTGTTGCAATCGACTCACTTTTTTCCTTGTATGTATGTTCATGAATCTCACTCGCGATACGGGAGAATTTACAGTAGTAAAAATCCTGGTGGTTCGCATACCATCTGCGTGTCTATGCATTTATATACGCTTACTGCTTCCTAATTACACACAGATAACAACAGTCGGTGGCGTGATTGTATGGTAAGGTTTACCTCCTACACTCTTAAAAATTCAATACATACATATGTATATACACTCCGGGATGGTGTAGAGTTGGTGATACATAACTTCTCTTCTGTGTTGGCAATAGTTTGATTCTGGTAGGTAAGTTTTCATCACCACCGTGGTGACGGTGGTGATCAAATTTATTTGCGAAATCTCACATACGTTTAGACTTTAGACCAGGTCAGCTCAACCCTTCTACCGATATTCTTGTGTAAGGGAATTTAATAAAATTTGGTTATGTTCATTATATTGCATCCGATATGTACATAGATTCATACTTTAAAAAAAAATATTTGTCATCTTTTATTCTGTTAGTTGAAATCGTGTCAAATAACGTTACATAAAATCTAAACCAAGCCGTTATTATTTGTACTACATGGTATCAAACTTTAATACCATATTTTTAATTTATTGAGTCACATTGTCAATATGCCAATAAATTTCGACTTTTTACCCAATTTCCGAGTTTTTTACGATAAAAACTTCAACTTTAATGCAAAATCTAAAATAAAAAAAAATAGTAATCAATGTTTCCAATCCTGACAATGTCGCAATCCCTTTTGCGATCATACGTACTTAAGTTTGAAAGGCAGTGAAGTTGCAGTGATTGAAAACTTTTTATTGTCGCAGTAGTCTTATAGCAATTTTATCGAACCTGTGATAATACCGAGTTTAGGGCCTGCATATGATGGAATTATGATGGAATTGTTTGTGCCAGTCACAGTGGTCATCTAATTTGCAAATTCTGCCGCATTCGCTAGAGCCAGAGACTATTAAACATAATACAAAGCTCGTATCGCCGAAAGTTTACATGGTGAGATTTATGGAAATGAATGAGCTGACCTACACAAATACGAGGATAGTACATACAATATTTTATATTTAACACTAACAAATAGATCTCATTTTTGCACAGATATTGATTTATGAAATATTCCTCCTCGACCAAATAATTAAAAAATTCGACATGAATATTTCCACAATTTTCAAAATGTTTCCATCGTGTGTCTTTTACCACAATGCAGCACGAGTTGAATAAAAGCGTAGAATTTCTCGCCACAGAAGTAGCACACCTTGTCCCTCACCTTTTCGTGTATCCGTTGCACGTGCTTCTTGAGTTGGAACTTATGCCAACTTTTATACTCACACTGGCCGCACGCATGACTTTTTTGCTCCTTGTCCCCGGGGTGCTTTGCTTCCACGTGGTTTTTCAAGTTGCTCGCAGTTTTTAGCCTCTTGTCACAAATGGGGCAGGCATACTTGCTCTGATTCTCGTGATAATTTTGAATATGAAGCCGTTTCCCGGTCCTGGTGAAGAATGTTAGTGGGCACAATGAGCATTTGATCGTTTTTCGGGCAGATCTTTCTCGATGCGTTTCCTAAAATTTGGGGAAAATTATTAATATTTTTTGATTGGTTTTTAAACATGGCGACGTGTAATTAATCAAAATTTCAAAAAGTAATTTTTCCTAATGAATCCATTGGCTAAAATAAACGCATATCAAAATTTCATATATAATTTGATCGTGGAAAAACTAATAGCGAAATTGAAATTATTTCGCAATATTCTACAAATTGGGAAACTGGGGTCAGAAATCGAGGCAGTTGCCAAAGTCTAGCATAATATAATTTTTAAAATTATTTCAAGTGGTATTTAACCACATTTGAATACCAATGAGACAAAACTCAAGATTTGCATAAAATTCGCACATTCTGGCTCAGATCTCGAAAACGGCTTATATACCTCCCCAATATCATTATGGATTCGCCATGTACATAAAATTACGCAAATTTTGAGCAAATACAGGGTGGTTTAAATCTCACGTTAAATGAACAATTTTTCAATTGGAAAAATTCGTAAATTTCCATTAGTTACGGATTTGGGATTGAGGTTTTTATTAACTTTTATCAAAACTTATGGAACACTTACGACGAAATTCTTAAAATATTTAATTTCATAGGCAAAATTTCGATAACGAATGGAGATTTGCGAATTTTTTCCATTGACAAATTTTCCATTGTACCCTGACATTTAAACCACCCTGTACATCTATCCTAAATATACACAAAACTCACCTCATGATTTGTCAAGTCACACATTTCCACGAAACTAGTTCCACACTGGGTGCACTTGAAGGGTTTTTCCGTCGTGTGGACGGAAATGTGTTTCGTTAACCCGAGTTGCGATTTATATTCTTTCTGACAAAGGGTGCACCGAAATTGGACCGGGTGCTGGTCGTGGGCGGCTTTAACGTGAATTGTGAGGCCTCCCTTGCTCGCAAAGGTTTTCTCACAGGGTACAAACGTGCATGGGAAACGAGCTCGTGGTCCAGGGGTGTGCACGGCTCCGACGTGATTTTGAAGACTCGAAGGCGAGGCGAAGTCTCGATAGCAGATTTTACATCGATATGTTTTACGATTGTTGTGAATCCGGTACAAGTGCGTGTACAGACCGCCCCGATTTTTTACGCGTTTGCCACAAATCTGTAAAGAGGATATGATTTTTATTTTGCACACTAAAAAAAATTTACTCAAAGTTGAGCAAAATTGCCAGCAGAGCAACAATTTGGATAAAAGTTACTCAAAATTGAGTAAAATTTGTCAAATTTTGTTTATTAGTCGTGCAATCCCGGGAGAATTTTATCCAACAGTTGTTTTGGTGGCAATTGTACTCAACTTTTTTTACAGTGTGATTATAATTTGATTATGATTTTGATTTTGAAGTGTAACTTTGAGATTAATTATGAAATTTTACAATGTTTGTGACTTACTTGACACTTAATTTGGGCACCCGGCTCATCATGACTGGCCAGATGCATGGTTAAGGTATATATCGAGTTGAAAGTTTTCGAGCAATGGGGACATTCCTGCGGAATATTTTTTCTTGGTGCCATTTGCAATTTGTAAATTTTAAGAGATTATTATTAACGCATCAGGAAAATACAGAAATGTACCCGGTAGAGTTTTGAGATGGGAAATGAAGAACAGAATATATGACAGGTTGGATACACAATGAGGACTAAACTCTTTTGACCTGTACACATGGCAACTACGAAATTTAAGGGTTCAACCCTTTCCCATTATTGTGCATTGACTGGAGTGGAAGGTCTATATTTGAGACTGTCCAACAAAATTTAAAATAATAAATGAATCCATTGTTACACTCAGAGCAAAATCGCTAAACGCGGTGTCTATATATGACCTCACCGGTTTGGTAGCGATTTGCTACAGAGTTGTAGTAAATATGTTACTATGTTCTAGTATTTCCCTACCGCGCTGTTACGGTGAGACAAAATGTGGGAGCAAATTTACTACAATTTCGTAGCAAATCGCTACCAAACCGGTGAGGTCATATATAGACACCGCCCGGTAGCAAATTTGCTTACTTTTTGCTCTGAGTGTAAGATGTGAAAGCCTTCTTTTGTGTCCATTGAGAAGTGTGCTTATGTACCCAAAGCTCTAAAAATATGTATACTGCATGTGCCTGAAATGGTACCGACTGTTTAAATAGATATATAAATCCACTCTACAAATGTAAGAGAAATATTCTTGGACTCATTTCGTACACGAATTTATGTATGAATACATGCACTGTAAATTGTATATTTTTACGCTCAACGTTGAGAATTTTAGATATGGATATTCATTTAGGTCGACTTTCCAAGAAATCCTTTTCCACCCATTCCTTCATTTTTCAATTTATTAATCCGACCAGTAGTGTTGTTAACTCTGACTGGAAATGTGTCTGATGAGTTGGCGAGATTTTGGGTTAAACATATATAAATAAAAATAAATGCTAAATATTTATGTAGTTATATATATTTTTACCACATCGTCCCAGAAATCCATTATTCCAATATTTTCCAAGCAGAAAAATTTATTTTTCACCACTAAATTACAAAAACTGCGAAAAATGTGTTCTTTTCGGGTAAAAACATAACCTCGCGTAGCGAAACAGATTGGACCGTATTCGCCATAATTATTGAAATTTTTGACGTGAAAATCAAAATTTTGACAAAAATTTTTAAAATTAGTGGTTGAGCTTCCCCATAAGTTGGATTGAGAAAATTATGTAGCGTGCGGATAAGTAAGTAAGAAACCCTCGCCTCTACACGGCAAAAACTCCCGTCGGTAAACCAGTGCGGACGTACTCAAATTTCAGTACATACGTATCAAATTTAACATTGCGAGCGGTCCCCATTTAATTAAAGTACATAATGCGTACTAAAACGGAATAATGAAATTCCCACTAGGAAGCGGTACGTATGCGTCATAAATAAAGGTTCATCACATACTGATGCTCATTGCCTGGGTGCTCACTAATTCTGGGCACACTACGTAGTAAGCTTAATTGTCATGCGTACTGAATTTTAGTATGCATATATATTTAATTGGTGGTATTGATTGTACTACAATTAAATCCAGGTAAATCAAATATATTAATTAATTCATATGAAAACCCTTATGGATAACATATTTTGAACTCTTAATTGGAGTAGTTACAATATTTCATTCAAGCTAAGCTAATGATCTACATAAATGCTGCTAACTCTTTGACTGTGGACATGACTGGACACGTCGGTTTCATCTTATAGATAAAAAAATCCAAAAACTGCCATGCTCCGAAACAAGATTTTGGGAATTCAATGTTAAAAATGTAAAACGATTTGAATGCAATATCAACTGCTTCTAATAAACTTGAGCATTTGACAATTCTGTCATTAAAAATAACTAAGAAATCAGTAAAATGTAGATCTTCTCGACTGCCTACTAAATATACTTGGGGATAGTCGTCCTCCTTCTGTTTCATAAACTCTTGATACTCATGCTCCTTTTGCACCTATTAATAAAAATACATTAATTATATATTTTTTAACTATTACAAATTCTTGTAAATTAGCACTTTCCAATTATTACTTTTATAAACGAGTCCACTGAATCCAGTAACGACGTTCACCGATTTTTAGGTCGAATCAAAAACGGGAGTAGAAAAAAGCTGCAATCATTGGCTTCGCTGTAAATCAGAATCAGAAGCGGTTTATGATTGTTTTAATAAATTAATTTGAATGTCTCACCGTCCGCTTCCGTCGAGGAAATATTTATTCCCTCAACTGTCCGTTTAATTAGTTGACCGTATTGCATCATTTTGCATGAAATATTGTCCCACTTAGAAAACAAATTGTCAGCGGCTAGTGGGAACAAGTGATTAAAATCATTCTGTATCTGTAACGCAATTAAATTATTTAGGGAATTATTTACTATTTGTTGATAGTGTTATGAAACTCAAATGCACGAAGCCATAATACTCACCGCCCCATCAACATCAAATAATCTAGGCCAATTGCTTATGATTTCAGAAAACGCTACTCCGGAGCGTGTATATTTCAACCGGGCGGTGGGCGATTGGTTTAATTTTTCAAATATTTTGGATGGGGGTCCACGATTGGATTTTAGCCACTCTTTTATGGACTTCGTCTTCTCCAATCTCATCTACAATAAATGATTACCAGAAATTGAAAACAAAACATGATATATTAACATGATATATTGCGTTGATAAACTTATTTTTTACATCATAATTAGGTATCAAATCGGGATAATCCGCTTCATTCATCGATTGCTTGTTGACTGGCTTATTTGACGCCCAAAAATTAACAAAATGCGATTGTATATAACCAGATGGCCTCTTGCTAATTTTTTTCCCGTCCGGGCCAAGATATGCGTAAAATAAGGCGTAAAATATGCGTCCTAAAGTAAAATTGAATTTATTATTCATACTCAACTACTATTAAGAAGTACCTTTAAATTGTTACTTTCTCCTTCCGACATGAAATGAATAGTTGATCGATGATGCATTCCGCCAACTGACGTCTTTGATCTGTGCTTGGACGCACAGAATTTGTTTTATTCATTAGCGATGTACAGGAAACTGCTACCAGTTTTTTACGAAGAGGATATGATATTGGCTGACGAGAGTCTGTGGCATCAATAATCTGGTGACCGTAGGTCGTGTGGCTGTCAATGTCGGACTTTTTTAGAATGGATTTGATGTCCTTGAAATAGAAATAGGGCTCAAATTAGCATTGATTCAAATTTTCAATTAGTATTATAAAATAAATTATATATTAATTACTAAGATATGAGGATCTGCGTCTTGTAGTAGTTTCCTTTTTCGCAACCTCTTCTCGACGGGAAGCGAAGTAGATGGAGTCGTGAAGTAGGTCAGATTTAAAGCTGGTTTGTCTAGGGGCTGGAAATAAATGAGACATCAAGCCAGATATTGATCTCATGAAGTAATTTAAATGAAGGGGAGAACTATGTACAGGTTTGGATTTTCTGTGTATAGCAATGGTTTAAGTAAATCGACGCTATCAAGTTTGATAAGGTTAACTACACCTGCTTTCTGAATATTATACGCATGAAAATGTTCACAAAAGGACATCGTTGTGAACATTTGGAATAAAAAATAAAATTCATCTTCGACTTTTAAAACTTGCTTAATTTTGCCAAAATTTGGAAGCTCGTTTTCATTAGTATTTATCATTAAGATGTCTCCAACGACAAGTTTTGTTCCCTTAAAACTTATTGAAGTGAATTCTACAGCATTTGATGAATTTAAAAATATTGAACTGGAATTTTGTATCCCTGTAATATCAATTTTTACGTCATGATAGTCAGACGACGGGTTGATGTCAATAATTCCAACATTAGAAATAAATCTGTAACTAACAATGGAAACTTTTTTCAAGCTACACGAGATAAGCTTAGTTACTTATGCTAAAAAATCAAGCTAAAAATTAGAAATGACGTGGTACTTATCTTTCCGTTGAATGGGCACTTGGAGGTCAAATATTTGAGGGCAAAGTTCACAGTAGCGGCCTGTTTTTTCTCAAGCGGGCGAGCGGAGGAGTGAAAATTTTCTCCTTCGAGGTCACTCCGCTCCGCTCGTAAATTGCTTCATACATTCATATGATTTTATATTTGCTATAAATATATATATGCTATATTTGATAAATTATAAGTTATAATTTATTGAACCCATCGTCACGTTTTTATTACGGATCGGTGGATAGTAGGATTTTAAATAGCAGATATAAAATTATATGAATGTATGAAGCAATTTATGAGATTGTGAAATTTTGTCAAAAATAATATGCATTGATTCAATGCCATTGAATAAAGTGCGAGCGTGCGAGAGTGAAGGGGAGCGGACTGACCTCGAAGGAGAAAATTTTCACTCCTCCGCTCGCCCGCTTGAGAAAAAACAGGCTGCTACTGTGAACTTTGCCCTCAAATATTTGACCTCCAAGTGCCCATTCAACGGAAAGATAAGTACCACGTAATTTCTAATTTTTAGCTTGATTTTTTAGCATAGGTCACTAAGCTTATCTCGTGTAGCTTGAAAAAAGGTTCCATTGTAAGTAGCATTTGATATCGACAGATTGGGCTATTACTCCGGTCGCTGCTAAATTTTGAAGTACAAGGTCTGACTCATAATTGGTTCTAGTCCTTCTCATTAATGGGTTCTCTCTTGATTCAATCAAACAACGGTATCGAGGCAACTTGCAAAAACGGCAAGGAAAATTTGATACAAACGATTCAGTAAAACCAAAAAGCTGATGAAATCCGAGATTATCCCCTGTAACTTGACCTAGTAAAATTTTAATTTCTCCCGTATATGACGGAGATTCAATAAAAAGAGTATTATGGGACAAATCAGACAACTCAGAAATTGCAGGTCTTAATAATTGAGACATTGTATATCTTTTAAGCAAATAAGTTTCAAACGAGCAACAACGAAAAATATTTTCCAATTTAGACCCAAAGGTAGAACCAGCATTCAAAATTGAATAATAACAATTTCCCAATTTATGTATCCCATGCCTTGAGCCTAAAGGATTACAAACCTCAACTTCATCATAGTAAAATAGAATGAACGCAATAGGGATGTTACTATTTTGAATCTGCGATTTAAATAAGTCTCCACATGCTGGCGAAACAAATAGTTTATTTGGAATATTTTGATTTACTTTCAAAATACGTTCCATAACGCCTGGAAGACATAATACTTTCTCCAGGACTCGTTTAATGGGAACGTAATGAAATTTATCAAACTGTACAACTGATTCTGGCCTGGTAATGACGCGAGAACCCAAGATAATTTCCTTAGGGGGGATATAAAAATCCATCTCTGTTAAATATTTCTTTAATAAATAATCAGTCTTAACAATAGCAAATGGATCTTTGAGTTGATTGATTTGTTCCTCAAAAATACTTGACTTTGGATCCGGCTGTTTCACAATCTTAGCTATCAAGTCTAAAGCTTCATTGAAAAGCTCTGAGACTGAATTAATAATCTCATTACATGTAGCTAAAGATAACTTTCCATTACTTTTTAGTTTTACTACAAACTCGGCACTTTTTTTCTGAATCCATACATTTCTTGACTAGAAATGTCGAAATTGTCGTTGGGGATCTGGTTATTTGGATCTAAATTGTTTATTGTTTCAATGTCATGTTCTAAAGTCATTTTGGCTCATTTTCACTGTCATGAATTGATTCTAAAGTTGACTCATTTTCATTGTGAAGATGTCTCGCTTCAACCTTGGATTTAAAATTTGAAACTAAGTGTTTCTTGACATGATCTCTAAAATTTAAAAATCTATACAAAATTGAACCACAAATTGGACATTTCCAGTTCGTAAATTTTTGCAAAAGTAAATGTTTGTATTTTAAATGATTCCAAATGGAATCCCAATCCTTACTTAATTCCGAAAAGCAAATTGTGCACTTTACCGAATTGTTTTCTGGCGCAGAATCAGTTGCTGGTAATGTTTCAGGATCAAGAATAATTTCAAATTGTGGGCCGAGAAATTGGTTGTTTAGAGCCCCTAGTATCTGGAGGCGATGTCCTAAAGACGGAATTACTTCAATCAAATTGGTAACTAATGTCCCCGACTGATGTAATGTTTTGAGAAGGGAGTCATCAATAGAATTTTCTATAGGAAATTAAGAATGAAATGTGTAGAAAAATTTTATACATGAAAATATAATAATTAAATAGTTTCTCACCTTTCAGCACTTCCTTGTACTGTCCTAAGTTTAGTCCCTCGAGCACGTTGTCTATTACGTTGAAATTTTGCAGTTCCATTTTTAAAACAATTGTTAAAAATGATTAAAGTGAGAGGGACAATGAAAGGCTTGCTTCAACAAAAATAGAGTGGCAAGTAAATCCAAACCGCCACTTCTTATTTTGGTATTTCTCATTTAGTTTTAGTACGGATGGGCTGTACGTGCACTGAACTTTGCCATTGAAAATTAATACATACAGCAACAATGAGATGTGTCGCGTATGCGTACTTCAATTAAGTGGGAATGCAATATTTTGGAAACATGAATTTCAGTACGCAACGTTAATTTAATTTGAGTACATAGAATGCTGCACTAGTACTAAAAAACTGTACGGATGTATCTATTAACATTTTAGTACGGATGCATACTAACTTATTTTTTGCCGTGTACTAGTTTTCAATTCATAAATCATCTCTCTTCTACACATAAATATTTGATTCTAGTGGGAAATCAACTCCTATTCGTTTAGCCACTCGACCAGCCAACTGTACAAAATGGAATTAGAAAGGAAGAAAAAGTGGGCGTGCCCCCACTGCCCAAAAGCGTTTCATACGAAGCAAAAGGTTCAAAAACATGCCATCAATCACAACGACACAAACGCTCAAGTAAAATGCGAGGTCAGCCATGCAACAATTTTTAACGTAATTGAAATCATGTCATACCTGCTCACATTCATTTAATTACTACGAAATGAAGAATGAATAATCAGGGTTTCGTTTTTCACGTCAAGAACGATTTTTTGCCACGGCAGGTGGGAAAAAGTGGTAAAAACCAGGAAAAACGGTTTTAACCGTCCAAAATGGGAAATATGGCTGCCCATGTATTTAGTTATGGGGAAAGCTAACTTCTTTAATAATCAATATTTCCGCAATTGGACTTCATATTCGTGATCTCCACGAATTTCTGAAAATTTTGATATGTAATACGGGCACTTTTGATCAGTTTTAATTATTTTTCCAATTTTCCCATATGAATACATGTTAATTTTAGAGATTAGTCAAATTGAACCGTATTACCAACTAATTTTCCCAGAATTTGATGGAGAATACGAATATGAAGTCAAATTTTGAAAATCTTAAGTTTTAAAGAACTTGTTTCGGATTGCTCCAAAACCAGAGTTTTTCCCATTTCTTCCATTTTTCCCATTTCCCACCCATTTTGGGTGGGTGGTAAAAATGTTTTTTTTCCACTTTTTCCCGCTGCGCTGGTCAATTTGGTTTTTACCAATCGAAACCCTGTGAATAATGAGTGAATGAGTGAGTAATTCAACATTTCAAAGTGAATAAGTGAGTTTTTTTACTCATTCATGTTTGCCCTATGTTAAAGGAAGGAATGAATGAATGAACGAATAATTCATTGAATGAATGAAAAAGGAAAATTTGAACGAAAAAATTGAACAGATATGACCGATATAAAGTATCTATTTATAATTCTTACCCATTAATTAATAGATTTGCAAGAAAACTCTCAAAAACCCGGGCAGGTTGTTCATCCACGTGCGTGACGTTCACAGCGACAAACCAAAACCCTCCTGCCTCGTTTGCCAAAAAGAATACACCACCCGCGAAAATTTACGCGTCCACGTGAAAAACATGCACACCACGGCGCCGCGAACCCGACACCCTTGCACGTGGCCAGGCTGTGACAAAACCTTTCTGCGGGCGGGTGACGCTGGGAAGCACTTTAAGCGGGAACATGTCCAAAATCCTGTCCGCTTTCGGTGCGCCCTTTGTGACAAGGAATTTAAAGATCAGGGTAACCTCAGGAGACACATAATTGCCGCCCACACGATGGAGAAGGCCCATGTGTGCTCAACTTGTGGGAAGAGATTCAAGGCAGCGGATATTTTGAAGTATCACATGGTAAATAGCGGGAAATATTTAAAACAAAATTGTTTACCTTGGTAGGGTTGTAAAATGCCTGTGTCAAGAAGTAAATGATGCCATGTCATATTTGTCGTGCCATGTTATATATGTCTTAAATGTCGGACATTAACATACAAAATTGATAAATGTCGGACACATTTGATAAATATGACATTTTTGAGACATGTACTTCAACGCCGTACGTCAATAACGTCAAATTAATTTGAACTTTAAAATTTCTGAAAATACTGCAACACAAATCATGGCTCCAATTTTTAACAATATTTCCTCTAACATATTCTAACATGGGTAATTTTTATGTCTTAAGAAATCAATGGCTCCGAAAATGTCATAAATGTCATAAATTTACATCCACCGAAAATGTCATAAATGTCGTCACATTTTCGGTAGATGTCAGTTTGTCATAAATCTGAGATTGACACAATTCATAAATATGCGGCATCTATGACATTTGACATTTATGACGGACAAGTATGACATGTAGAACCCTACATATACCTTGACGAATAGATATTGTAGTAATTTTGATTAAACTCGTGTTAGACGACGCACCAGGAGAAATCCACGCTGCCCGTGCTCGTCTGTGAGTCGTGTCCAAGAACTTTCCTCCATCCGTCCAGCCTTTGGAGCCACGTTAGCAGAATTCATAGGAAGGTGACGTACCCATGCAACTTGTGCGATGTGATACTAAAAAGTGCGAACGGTTTGGCATATCACGTGGCTACGAGGCACGTGATAGCGAACGAGCCACCTCATTCGTGTGACCGATGTGAGTACAAAACTTGGACCAAGTTACGCCTAACGATGCACATGAGAAGGGTTCATGAACGTGTGAGAAGTAAAGAGTGCTATTTCTGTGGGAAGAGGTTTTTCAATTTTTCTGAATTGGTCCGACACTGCTCTGTCATGCACACTTTGGAGGGATAAAATCAAATTCAATGTTTCTAGGGTTGCTGCTGTGGAGATGAATTTGACGCTACGACAGGTTGTGTCAGTTTATTCGATTTAAAAAAATGTGAAAAATCCGGAAAATGTATCCTCTGCTTTTAATTTGTAACTTTTGACAACGTAAAAATATAGAGGGTAAATTTTGCGAATTCTACACGTCCGAATTTTTTTAAATTTTCTAAAAATCGAATAAACTGCCACAACCAGTAGTAGCATCAAATTCATCTCCAAAGCAGTACAGAGACCTTGGATTAAATTTGACGATGGAATATGGGAAGATTTGCGTTTTAGTAAACCAATTTACATATTCAAGGATAATAACAAATTTGCATCATCATCAATGATTTTATGAGAAATTACAATCTTTATGGGAATAGAAGAAAATAATAAGATCAACTTTAAATTTATGTGTAAAAGTAGTGTACTATTTTATTGATTCGTATTGTTGATTGTTATGTATATGTCAACAAGCCGAAAACTTTCAATAAATTACATTCATAGCTTTTCATGAACGAAAGAATGATCAATGTGAATCAAGTTTATGGAATTTTCAAAATTGTCTCCTACTATCAACTATGGTAAGATAAATACATACTACCGAAATGAAAAAATGTGTTCTTTGTAAAATTTAAATACTGAATTTCTTCATTTTTGAAATAAAAAAAAATTATGAAATTCACATTTTGAAAATTTTGCAGATTTTTACCAATTCCTAGAAAATTGCAAATTTTTGTATAATTTTTTTTTGCATATACATATTACATACCTACTCGTGATTATTTATGATCAGCATGCAATTACCTACGTATATATACATAAACGTATAAATAGTTGTATACCCAGGTTACGTCACGTCTCTCTTTAGTTTCAGGTTGAAAACGTTTCCAAGAATTTTAATGATAACGATTGCACATTATTGATGAAGACCAAGACGTTTTGTTAGCAAAAACGGGCCATAATTTTGACTAAACGACTTCTGCAAAAGTTACCATGCCAGTAAAATTTAAAAAAAACACCTACATATATCCTATAACTGACAAATATTCGTATTTATCAGTTAATGATAAATGATAATGCATAAGATACCTAGGTACATATGTAGTCCACATATTTATGCCTTTCTTAATCACCCTCCGCATTTTATAAATAACTTCAACCGCATTACGGAAGGGACAAGTGAGTAGATAAATATTTTAGGAGTACAATTTTTACCTCGAACCCAAATTCGTGGAACGGAGTAGGATTTAACCCTCCTAAATTAAGAATTTAACGAATTTACCAGTCTTTTTCACTCGATCGTAACAGGGTCGTCTTGTTCAATGTTCAGACACATTTCCAACCTTACGCTGATAGGTGTATCAGTTTTCCTGGTTTAAATTATTTGCAACAATACGTTCTCGGTTGGCATGTATTATTTAAGCAATTATTTATAAAAGCACCAGTGAATTATTTATAATTTTTACCCACATATCAGTAATTTCAATTGGAGTTTTTATCCCACTAAAAACCTTTTTAACCTTTGAGTGAGTAATTCGTCTAAAAATTACTGTACTAAATAGATACATAAAATATTTGTATGATTTTACCCAGAGTTTCTACCAGGAAAAAGAATGAAGCCCACGACAACTGAGAAGAACTGGAAGTGCGCCTTGTGTTCGAAAATATTTGTACGAAAGCAGTATTTCGAACGTCATGTCATCACTCATGAGACCAACTCGCAAGTTAAATGTGAGGTATGTGAATTAAATAGTTTACATATATCAAAGTCATGGGTTACGATTATCACCAAAAAGTACACCATGGTGATCAAATCGTGACCGACTGGTTATACACTTTTACCGAGTTATTGTGCAATGTGGTTTAAATGTTAGGTCACAATGGAAAATTTTTCAATGGAAAAAATTCGTAAATTTCTATTAGTTACAGATTTGGGGTTGAGATTATTATTAACTTTTATCAGAACTTATGGCTTAACACTGATAACAAAATTCTTAAAATATTGAATTTCAGAGGCAAAATTTCGGTAACTACTTAATGGAAATTTAAGAATTTTTCCCATTGAGAAATTTTCCATTGTAACCTGACATTTACCAAAACCACCCTGTATTTATTATTGTATAATTAGATTTGCCGTAAAAAATTAAAGAATCGCCTCGTCCTCTACACGCACATGAAGTCTTTTCACAGCAATAAAGCAAAACAAAGATGCCAACTTTGCCATCAAGAATTTGCCATGATCCGGGAACTGCGAGGCCACATGGAGCGAAGACACACACCGATAGAAGAAAGGCCACGACTCCACTGCACCTTTTCCGGCTGCCCTAAAACCTTCCTGGCAAAGGGTTACCTTACCAAACACTTTAACCAGCAACACTCCCACAATCCAGTCCGATATCCTTGCACGCTTTGTAAGAAGGAATTCACGCAAAAACCAAGCCTCGACACCCACATTGCGACTCATACGACGGAAAAACGCTTCAAGTGTGCCACGTGCGGGAAGAGTTTCACACAAAAGCATAGTTTGCAAATTCATGAGGTATGCACCAGCCTTCACTCTCTGCCCGGACCGCTGTATCTCCCGTCCGACCAAAATGCCATAAGACTTTTAACTATGTGGAACTGCGTACTGCGAGTCACAAGGGGACGTTCACATAAGGCGTCATCAAAAAGCGACTTAAAAGTACAAAACTCAAAATTAATTTTTTCGATATGTGTCTAACATATCGTTGTTAGACAATTACTGAGATAATTGGTCAAAGATAGTGCCACATTCTGTGCGTATGTCCCCCTCCATTCATTCAAAAATATTTGAAGTTAGCTGGCAACCTCACATAACGAGATAGGAAAAGTCCAGGCAGAGAGTGAAGCCTGGTATGCACTGCTCGTCACGAGCTATAATCCGGCACACCTTCACTCAAAGAAACCCGGTAACTAAGCTATTACCAAGCGGAGTATCTACATGTGTGATTCTACCGCACGGTAATTAATTTATTATAGAGTGGTAAACATTTTGTTACCAAACCAGTAATAACCCCGGTTGCGAAATTTGAAAATATTTATATGTATTACCAGTTGGTACCTAATTTTTACCACTCAATAATAAATTAATTACTATGCGGTAGAGTCACATAGATACACCGCCTGGTAATAAATTACATAGTTACCGGGTTTCTTACAATGGAACCTTTTTTCAAGCTACACGAGATAAGCTTAGTGCAATCTGCTGAAAAATCAAGCTAAAAATCAGAAGTGACGTGGTACTCATCTTTCCGTTGAATGGGCACTTGGAGGTCAAATATTTGAGGGCAAAGTTCACAGTAGCGGCATGTTTTTTTCTCAAGCGGGCGAGTGAAGGAGTGAAAATTTTCTTTTTCGAGGTTACTCCGCTCCCTTCACTCTGGGGTGATCCATAAATTATGTCACGCAAAAAAGCCCTTTTTTAGGACCCCCCCACCCCTGTTGTCACGCCTTTGTCACGCTCGAAGTGACCCCTCCCCCCTCTTGTCACGTCACGCCTTAAAATCTGAATTTTTCCAATGCAAGAATGATACATACATGTGTTCTATAAAAGAGGAGCGAGTAGTAAATATGGCGTAATATCAAAACTCACAAGGGAATCTTATGTACTCTGTCACCAGGATTTTGCACAAAGTAACTTTATTTGGCTTATAATTATGAAACCATGCCTTTGTCATAGAAAATGTAGTACAAATTGCGGTTTAAACCTAATATTTCGAGATAACTGAGTGAAACCCGTGTAATTTTACAGATAGGAACAATTGTTAGCTTTATTTATACTCATATTACACCCTTGATGGGTTGAAAAGTCATAGCGTGGTAGATTTGTGGATAACAACCTTTCCCAAAATTACTGTTCATTTTTTAGTATTTTTAGTTTTTAAAAGTTTCAAATAAGTTATAAAAAATCCGCCAAATTTTTAAGTTTTCTTATTGCGATACATTTTTTAATTGTTAACATTTTTGAATCATGCAGTTGTCTTCAATTAGTAATGTTTTTTTAATTGTTGAATGAATTTTTTGCAAAATTATGACGATTTTTTTAAATTGTGCAGACTTTATGGCATCATGAATTTTTTAAATTTTCAAATAATTGTATATGTATTGTGCAAATTATTTTAAGGTTTGAACAAAATTTAGAAACTTGGTTGAAAATCTCAAAATCTAAAACTTGGTTTAAATTTTGGATGCTTTGGATCGAAGGTTTGATATTCGGTTGAACTTGGACATATATTTCGAAATAATTGCGAAACTGTAGTTTGGTCATAGTCGGATAATTAAAATGTAAGTTAAAGTTTGCATTAAGCTAGGCCTGCAAAACGTGATGTCACGGATCGGCCGAACCCCCCCTCCCCATATGTCACATTTTGTCACGGAAGCTTGGAACCCCTCCCCCCCATCTTCAGCGTGACATAATTTATGGACCACCCCTCTCGCACTCTCGCACTTCATTCAATGCATATTATTTTTGACAAAATTTCACAATCTCGTAAATTTGTGCATAGATTCATATAATTTTATATTTCCTATAAATATATAAACGTTATATTTTATACATTATAAGTTATAATTTATTGGACCCATCGCCACTTTTTTATTACGGATCGATGGATAGTAGGATTTTAAAAAGCAAATATAAAATTATATGAATGTATGAAGCAATTTACGAGGTTGTGAAATTTTGTCAAAAATAATATGCATTGAATGAAGTGCGAGAGTGAAGGGAGCGGAGTGACCTCGAAGGAGAAAATTTTCACTCCTCCGCTCGCCCGCTTGAGAAAAAAACAGGCCGCTACTGTGAACTTTGCCCTCAAATATTTGACCTCCAAGTGCCCATTCAACGGAAAGATGAGTACCACGTCATTTCTAATTTTTAGCTTGATTTTTCAGCATAAGTAACTAAGCTTATCTCGTGTAGCTTGAAAAAAGGTTCCATTGTTAGTGTATAGATTCTAAAAAAACAAGTGGGTACCCTGGACACCTCGGAAGGTTCCCTTGTAAGAATCCGTTGAAACTAGCACGTTCCTACATATTTAATTCTGGTATTTGATTTTCTCCCCGTTTTCAGAGAACTCACCTGGCGAAGGCTGACCGCCCCGTATTTCCATGCCGCTTATGTCCACTCAATTTCTACTCCGAACGAGGGATTTGGTACCACGTTAAGACTTATCACGATCAGAACCAATATTTCTGCAGGATTTGTGGCAAAAATCTAAAGAATGCTGACCGGTTGAAGTATCACATGAGAGCCAGCCATCCCACAAATGAGGCACCGACTTACTCCTGCCAGTATTGCGAATATCAAAGCAGAATCAAGCAAAACTTGACAAGCCACGTGGCACGGATGCACGTGGGTGTGAAGGGAAGGCAATGCTATTTTTGCGGGAACAAGTTTTACAATTTTTCCCATTTGGCCAGTCACTGTAGCCGGATTCACACTCTTGAAAAATAATTTCACATTTCATTCGATTAGAAAACAATTGTTATGTGCTGCACTAGATTAAATAATTAATAACTTTTATCTATTTATGCAAATATATAGATTAATTGATAAAATCTACGTTTTTTTTTTGCTTTTCTACGTATGGATATGATGCGTGGAATAAAGTGGATGCTTCTTGTCGTTTGCAGAAATCGATTTGCATAAAGCGTACAGTATCATACGGTACGTTTGGAGATGAATTTGATGCTAAATTCTACAAGTTCTGTCAGTTTATTCGATTTAAAACAAATTAAAAAATCCGGACTTTGGAGAACTCACAAAATTTATGCTCCGTTTTGTACCTTTTGACAACGTAAAAATGTATAGAGGGTAAATTTTGCGAATTCTCCAAGTCCGGAATTTTTTAATTTTGTAAAAAATAAAATACACTGACACAACCTTCGATTTAATAATAATTTGTAATAATTCGATAATTTTCCATGAACGAAAAAATGATCAATGTCCATCAATTTTATGGAATTTTAAAAATTGTCTCTTACTATCAAGTTTGGTAAGATGCATAAGTATATACATATTACCGAAATGAGAAAATTCTGTCCTTGTGTAGTTTAAATTTCTGTATTTTTGAAATTAAAAAATTATGAAATTCACATTTTGAAAGTGTTACAGATTTTACTAATTCATAAAAATTGCAAATCTTAGTATAATTTTTTGCGCATAGACATACTCCTCATTATTTTTGATAAGCATCCAATAACGTATATATATACATAAAAGTGAGTATAAATAATTGTATACGCAGTTAAGGAGGAGACTCTACATGTCATCTTCAGATCTTGATGCCCTTTGGATATGTTGGAGTACCCTATGAGTCTACTAACACCCTGAAGTGGTTTGATGACATGGCCCCATTTGCGCCCGCCACACCCCCTCAAAGGTGTAAAAACCACGAAAAAAAGCCCTGTTTTCATGTACTCAAACTGTCACCAAAAATCCAATTTTGCTCGGATTTTGATAAAATTTACATTTTTGTTATCCCAGATACTTGTGTGATCATATCCAGTAGCAATCTCAACTTTTTTGAAATTTTGAAAATTTTCGAATAACTCATGAGCAGTGGAATGTCCAAAAATTTCGAAAATTTCAAAAAAGTTGAGATTGCTACTGGATATGATCACACAAATATCTGGGATCACAAAAGTGTAAATTTTATCAAAATCCGAACAAAATTGAATTTTTGGTGGATTTTAGAAGCTGGTCATTTTTGTGGTTTTCATCCCTTTGAGTGGGTGTGGTGGGCGCAAATGTGGCCATGGCATCAAACCACTTCAGGGTTTTAGTAGACTCATCGGGTACTCCAACATATCCAAAGGGCATCAAGATCTGAAGATGACATGTTGAGGGCCTATCCTCCTAAGTTACGTTACGCCTGTCTGTAATTTCAGGTTGAAAACGTTTCCAAGAATTTTAATAATTGGCACATTATTGAATACGGTTTGTTAGAAAAACGGGAAGCGAAGCCAGGATTTTGACTAAACGACTCGTGCAAAAGTTGCCAAGCCAGTCAAATAAAAAAATACCTACACAATTATATCCTATGTATAACTGAAGAATATTCGTATAAGTTATAAATGATAATGGATAAGATAGATATATGTACACCAGATTAGAGCTGTGCACGGGCCCGATTTTTAAAAACCCGGCCCGCCCAGAACCCTACTGGAAAAAACCCGGCCCGCCCGGCCCTACTGGGTTTTTCTTGACAAAAAGCCCGGCCCGCCCAAAACCCTACTGGAAAAAGCCCAGCCCGCCCGGCCCTACTGGGTTTTTCTGAAAAAAAGCCCGGCCCACCCAAAACCCTATAGGGTAGGGCTTCTTTAGGATAAACCCAATTCCGCTTTAGCTGGGACTATATAAAACAGTGAAGTTTTGTCTCAAATGTCATATTGTACTTTATCACTATGGCAAATTAAAAAGCCCGAAGCCCTACAAAAAAACCCGGCCCGCCCAAAACCCTATAGGGTAGGGTAGGGTAGGGTTTTTTTAGGGTAAACCCGACCCTACGCACAGCTCTACACCAGATACATATTTGACTTTCTTAATCACCCTCCGCATTTTATAAATAACTTCAACCGCATTACGGCAGGGACAAGTGAGTAGATGGACACGTTTAGGAGTAAAATTCTTACCTCGAACCCAAATTCGTGGAACGGAGTCGTGCTTAACCTTTCTAAATTAAGAATTTAACAGTGTTTTTCACTCGATCTTAATAAATAGGGTCGTCTTGCTCAATTTTTCAGACACATTTTCAACCTTCCTCTGAGACGTCAACTTATTAGTTTAAATTCTTTGCAACAATACATTCTCGGTTAATATGTATTAGTTAAACAACTATTTATAAGAGCCCCAGTGGATTAGAATCATTACCCATAAATATATCATTAAATTCAATTCGCGTTTTTATCCCACCCGACTAAAAACCTTTCCAACCTTAGAGTGAGTAGTTGGTCTATAAATTACTATATTTACTAGATATATACATATTTAAAGGAATTGTATGATTTTACCCAGAGTTTCTAAATTCAAGGGAAAATAATGAAGCCAACGACTGAAAAGAACTGGAAGTGCGACAAGTGTTCAAAACTATTTGTACGAAAGCGGAATCTCGACCTTCATGCCATCACTCATGAGACCAACTCTCAAGTCAAATGTGAGGTATGTAAATAAAATAGTTTGCATCAAAAACTCATGACTATCTAACAAGGGACACTCACGACCTGTCGTTTGAGTCCAGGGTAGCCACTATGTTTTTTAGAATCTACTAGGACCCCAGATGAAGGATTCATTCATATTTCCGTGTAAAACTCATATTTCGCGCCGTGCCGTGGCGCTAAATTCGCCAAATTTCAATGCTTTTATTTTTGAAACCGCCATAACTTTTGAAATCCTGGGCGGATTTTCAAAATTTTTTGCAAAAATCATGACAAGGAGTTCAACTTTCGTATCCCATGAAATTTTTTCCAAAATTTGTGCTTTTAAATTTTCGCAAAATTTCGTAATTTTCTTAGAAATGAGGGTTCGTCGGAAAAATGCTAAAAATATTTCAAAAATTAGAAATTTTTTATTTTTATTTTTTTCTCATAAGTTTGTACTTTTGTGATCATTTTAAGCATAAAATTTTGAAAGTCCGACATAATCTGCAATAGTTATGAGGGTTTGAAATTGGTCGAAAATGCACATTTTTAAGTTTGGCGCCACGGCACGGCGCCAAATATGAGTTTTACACGGAAATATGAATGAATCCTTCATCTGGGGTCCTAGTAGATTCTAAAAAACATAGTGGCTACCCTGGACTCAAACGACAGGTCGTGAGTGTCCCTTGTAAGTGCAATTCCACAAATTGGGTTACGATTATCACCAAAAAGTACACGATAGTGCTAAAGTTGTCACTGACTAGTTAAACATTTTTACCGGGTTATTGTACAATGGTTTAAATGTCAGGTTACAATGGAAAATTTTTCAATTGGAAAAATTCGTAAATTTCCATTAGTTACGGATTTGGGATTGAGATTTTTATTAATTTTTATCAACTTATGCAACATTCATGACAGAATCATTAAAATATTGAATTTCAGAAGCAAAATTTCCTTAACTAATGGAGATTTGCGAATTTTTCACATTGAAAAATTTCTAGAAAAATTCCCATTGCAACCTGACATTTAAACCACCCTGTATGTTCATTTTTTCCGATTCAGTATAAATGTTACAATTATTGCATACAAGTGGTAAGTTTGTCAGCATAGCGATGCAGAGATCGACGCCGACAAATTTTTGGCAACACCAATTTTGATAAGTTTTCCGCTGCGTGGTATCGGACTTTTGAAGAAATAGGGAATCAAATTTTTCGGCGGTGGTGGCAGCGGGTAAAATCATGTTACTAACATGCTCAAAATCTGCGTGAGCAGTGGCCGCGGAAGCGTGGGGACATGGGGACAATGTCCCCACGGAAATTTTGCCGTGGGGACAGTCAATGCATTTGTCCCCACGGTCTCGTGAGGGCCAAGCACATAGATAAAAAACATGCATCCTAGAAGACTAGAATTTGAAAATTCTGTCTATATTCATTCTCAGTGGGCAATATAAATGAAAATGCATATTGAATATATATACCTCGCCAATTTACTAAAATATTCTTCGAACTATACAATACTACATATGTATATACAATATAATACCAAATTGACATATACAATATATTTACAAACATACGTACGTATATCATATACAGGATTGTATAATATACATGATCTTTGTTCCAGAGTAACATTTTCGTACTTTTTCCACCGATTGATTTTGTTGCGTGATTTAGAAAATCGCAGCCCTTAATTGGAAAACAGAACATACAGTCGGTTTATTTACCATACGACCCTCGACGTCACCACTGCAATGCTATTAGTAATGAGAGTGATGACATCGAGGGTCGTATGGTTAAAAAAACAGGAGTAGGCTAATAACTTGTTAAATGACAAAAAACAACGCGAGATTAGGGAGGAAAACCTTGCCTTTGATCTATCATGAAAAATTATTTCCACATCAGAAAGTTGTAAGGTTTTTGCAAATTACACAAACTACTAACGGTTTGGGATTACCATTTTCCGGCTTCTTCAAAAATTGAAATCGCGTAGGGCAGTGCCCACCAATACCCAAATCAGCAATTATTTTCCAGCACTCAAAATTGCTTGCATTAGCGAATGGCTTGGCAATGTGACATAGCATTTTACGTCCTTGATCGTGGGGTCAAAGTGGATGGGCATATCTGTCGACAAATTTTTCATTAAAAAACCAAACGAATTAATTCGTTGGGGAAATAAACAGAAAATTCAATCAATCTGGAATTCAGCGCTATGAAGCATATGAACGGACATATACCTGTGCAAATTGAAGGCGACAAAGACGTTGTCGTTAATATTTGTGAAGAATATGAACTGAACTATATATAATGTATCAGTTGTCCATGCTTCGCAAATAAATTTCTCACTCAAGAAACACAACCAAATTTTTTGGCCGAGTTTAAAGAACTTCAGCCCGAAACAATGCGTTTGCAAGGAAATTTTTGCTCGGATTACAGATTGGGGAATGGTGACTTAAAATTTTTGGATTCGATTGGGGATTAGAATTAACATGAATTCGGGGATTGGAGTAGTTTAGGACAAGGTTATTATCAAAATGATTTGGATTGGGGATGAGGGATTGACTAATCTGGATTAGTTTCAAGAGTAAGAATTTTGTCACAAATGTTTTGTATCTAACTTCATTTTTTAACAATGTTTGTATTATTTCCCTGCAAAAAATAAATAAAAGAAAACGGTTTAAAACATTTTAGGGCCATAGTAAAAACATATTGAGTAGTTATTGACAGACAGAAAGGTTCGTTTTTGTGTAAAAATTTGTCAAAAGTCGAATGAATTAGCTAATTTTAAGGGAAATGTGAAATATCTACAAAGAGCTAATCCAAGATCTATGACCAAATCAGATTGGGGATTAGCTAGGCAATATTATGCTGGCTTCGGAATTGATTTGAGTGAAGTTAGTTTTGGGAAAGGTGGATTATTTTCATTATTTTCCAGACTTTGATTAGGGATTGACTAATCCCAATCCGGATTACCAATCCACTAATCCCTAATCTGGATTTTCCCGGCTCTGCTTATTTGAGATCGACAATGACGCAAATTTGATTGAATAATTTATACACTCTCGCCGCATGTCCCTGATTTGGTAGACGACGCTGACTTAGATAAAATTATGTCGGAATTTGTCACAAATCTCATCGTGCAAAAAACATTTGGGATTGCGATGGCTTAGCAGCGATAATTTTTCTGGGCAAGTAATTAAGCCAACGCACTTTTGATTGTGGTTTTAAACCTTTATCCTGGTTTTATTGAGAATCAAGTAATTTTATTGCACTGAAAATAAGCCGTAATGTTCGTTTCGTCCTCATTTCAATGGTACAGCTGGTACGTTACCGTCGAAATAAATATGTAGTTACATCACATTGTGTATCAAAATTCACCCTAGAGGACGGCAACATTTTCTGGAGTTTTAGAAAAAATTTACCCACTTAAATAAAATCAAAATAGAGTGCTTTGCAATTAATTGGTGCTACATAAGGGCTAACCCTTAGCCGCTAAGGGTTAGCCAATATAATTTTGGCAGACTAAAACCCGCATGGTTTCTGTATTTATTGATAAATTTTCAATTTTCTTCCAACTTACAATGCACATGCCAGACATGTTTCGCACGGATCTTCTTCAAACCACCACTAAAATATCAAGGAACTAAACAAAACAACAATTGGTGTGACACTTGAGCACTTCTGCAGAATTCGCGAAGTTATGAAGGTTTTAAGTGGGCAAAAGCGCACATTTTCACCATGCGAAACTATACGGAATCCGTCTCTCCGCTTTCCGATTTTCTCTTGCGTTTCTCTTCTCCAGGTCATCGGTTTTCACATTTCATTCAACATTGAATTTGTTAATTTTCTCAACCAAGTTTCACAACCAAGTTCTCGTCCAATTCTTAATCTTGAGCTTTTAAATAATTTTCTAACACTTTTAAATATTAAAAATGGATTCAATTAAGTTCTTATCAGCGTAATTTTTTTTAAAGAATTGGTTCAGACGCAAATTCAGATGGTAAATTTCTTTCACGTTGCGTGCATGTAAAACATTTTTATGGCAAAAATCTTATGAACTTGTGTGATGTTGGCTCTTATCACACATGGGAAACTTAATTGGTATATTTGTTTTGTTTTATGTTCAAAGAGATTTACAAATAAAAATGCGCAATGTGAAAGAAATTTAAAAAAATTGAAACCACTATTCTCAATCAATTCTTTAAAAAAAATTACGCTGATAAGAACTTAATTGAATCCATTTTTAATAATAATAATAATAATAATTAACAATAATAATAATAATAATAATAATAATAATAATTGTAGTAATCAACAAAGTAAATTATGGCTGCGAAATATTCATCAGAAAAGTCGAGTTTGATGTTGAATATAAGAGAACAATTATCTGGGAGTATAATGGTGAAAGAAATTTCAAAATCGGAGTAAGATTGGATTTTTGGCGTGGTTTTGAATGAGTGAAGGCTGGAGTGAAGCCGATTTTTGGGCACCTTTGAGTAGGCGTGGCAGGCGCAAATGTGGCCAGTGGCCATAGAATCAAACCACTTCAGGGTTCTTGTTCATTCATGGGACACTACAACATATCCAAAGGGCATCAAGATCCGGGGGTTGATAGTACACAACCTCCCCTCCTCAGTGGGTTTTTTCCGGGGTTTTTGGGTTTTTGTAGATTTTGGGGAAGGTTGAACCAAAATTCCTAAAATTATATATTAGTGAAAAACTTATTTAATATACGAATTTATCATGCAATTTTAAGCGTTATCATTGATTTGGACTATTCAATCGGAAATTCATGTTTAACATGAAAACCTGGAAATATGCAATAATACTTGGAAGTTTAAGTCGCATATAAAAATTCTCAAAACTTCATGATTAACCCAACAACTTAATTGGAATTGATCAAAGTTGTAGTTTAAAGGATTCTTTTAAAATCTGCCTTAAAATTTTACAAACACTCCGGAAATACTCGCAAAAAGCCATTAAGCATTAGAGTTTATCCGCAGATTTGATACCCCAAAAACCC